ACCGCAGCGCAGACACTTGTATAGCGAACGACGCTATATATGTATACCCGCAGCCCGGCCAACTTGTATACGACGACGCCTATATATGTATACCGCAGCGCATACACTTGTATACGACGACGCATATATATGTATACCGCAGCGCATACACTTGTATACGACGACGCGTATATATTAATACCGCAGCGCATACACTTGTATACGACGACGCATATATATGTATACCGCAGCGCATACACTTGTATACGACGACGCATATATATGTATACCGCAGCGCATACACTTGTATACGACGACGCACATATATGTACACCGCAGCGCATACACTTGTATACGACGACGCATATATATGTATACCGCAGCGCAGACACTTGTATACGACGACGCATATATATGTATACCGCAGCGCATACACTTGTATACGACGACGCATAGATATTAATACCGCAGCGCATACACTTGCAGCGCATACGCTTGTATACGACGACGCATATATGTGTACCGCAGCGCATACACTTGTATACGACGACGCATATATATGTATACCGGAGCGCATACACTTGTATACGACGACGCATATATGTATACCGCAGCGCATACACTTGTGTACGACGACGCATATATATTGTATACCGCAGCGCGTACACTTATGTTCGACGACACATATATATAGATATATATACCGAAGCGCATGCAGTGCAGACACTTATATACGGCGACGCACATATATGTGTACCGCGGCGCATACACTTACATAGACGACGCATATACATATATATATATATGTATACCGCAGCGCGTACACTTATATAATACGACGACACATACATGTATACCGCAGCGCATACCCTTATGTACGACGACGCGTGTATCTCTATACCGCAGCGCGTACTCGTGCACATGTTTGCAGGCCAAGGTTTAGACACTTTACGACAGCGCGTATATCTATTGCGGCTTCATAACAATGCATATACTTGTATACCTCAGCGCGTAGCCACTGACAGGCCAACATGCCAAACCATGTGCGATCATATTCGCATATACAGCAGCGCATACACTTATACACGACGCTAAATTGCCACATGTGCCCTGCAACAAAACTGGCCAGACCGGGTCTACTACCATTCGAAATGAAGCTCAAGTTCAACGGTCTAGAAAACAACCTAGCCTGTCCGAAATCCCGGGGGGGCTAATCACAATCCGTAATCCGCTTAATCCTTGTTCTGGGTAATCTTCTTAATCCGTAATCTTCTTCTGGTCCAAACCGCATGTTGGAGCATGGGAAATCCATGCAACCCATAATCCGTAATCCGCAAACCGCATAATCTAGTCCGTGAACCGCATAATCCGCAATCCGCTAATCATTGGGGATGAGATTTTGAACAAGCTAGACAACTGTTGCGGTGGGTGGCACAGCACAAGAACATGCTCCAGAAGAAGTTCGTGTGACAGCAATGGCCGCGCCCTCTACAATGCACACATTGCAAACACGAGCTTCCCACGCGCAATGCCCTCTCCACGCACGTGTGACTGATCACCTTTTTTTCTTGTCAAGCATCAACTGCTGCACTAATGCAACTGGCACAGTGCGCGCTGGCCCCCCGATAGTGGCCACGCATAGCCACCGACCACCGGTGCCTCTGCAACACTTCGCAAGCCCCGTCGCAACTGCTGACACAAGCTGTTCCAGCCAACGTGCAACATGCGTCCCGCAATTGTGCCTGATGCAAGCGCTGCAAGTTTGCACAAAAAATCTGCACACAGGCTTTGCGCGTGATCGTCTTAGAGACTCTTATTCTCACAAGCAAATTCTGCCAACACACGGTAGCTCCCTCCCTGTTGCTGCTGTCCCCTCTGCGAAAAACAGCCAACAAAACCTCAAGCATTCTCCTCCAAAACAGAAACCACACGCGCTGGCTCGGTCACCAGCCCCGCTGAACACTTTCCACCCTTGCTCAGCAGAGGCAGGCACCAGGCAACGAAAACACAACCCGCAAGTGGGCTACACTAGGCACGCGCAGCCCTGGATTGTTGCACCACGGCTTGCAACAGACTGGCAAACCAGCACTCGCTCGTTTGCATGCCCCGATCGCAAGTCTCTGGCTTGCGCAAGGCCTTGCTACCCCGACCTGCTGCATTAGCATGCACGACCATGGCTGCTGGCTCAGTCACAACGCTTTCCGCGATGGGCTCAGGCAACAATTCCTGTGGCTCCTGCTCCAGCACCTCCTTGGCCTTGTTCTTCGCCGTAGGGCATTCCGCGGGCGCCGGCTGCACCTTCGTCATATATTCGTGCTGGTAGTCGTTGTCCAGGTCACGGTAACTCGCCCCGGCCGCCCGTGCCATGCCCACTGTGGTGGCACCTCAGATCAGCCCAAGGTCAAACATTCACGTGGCTTTGCCCGCACGGAACAACCAGTTTTAGGTCAAACAAATGTGCCAAGCTTGTCGGAGCGCCTTTGTACTGCTCATACCGCTTGAATGCTTGTGTTTTGGCTCTCTTCGGATTATGCGGCGTGAAGCAGCACTCCATCTCTGTGGCCCAATTAAAGCGCTTCATCGGCACGGACAAATCGCCTAAGCCACCGTGTGGACTTCTGGTTTTGCCAGAGCCAAAACGAGCACGACCAAGGACATGCGCCACAAACTTGCAGGTGCATGCGCGCTGTGCCATGTGGACGTTGCACTCGTCGCTCACTGCTGGCTATAGCATTGCAACACTCTGCAAAGAGAAAGCATCGGCTCCCAGGCCTGCTCCCAGCAACATGCCGCTCAGCCAAAGAGCGCGGCTCAGGCCAGGAGCGCAGGTCTGCTGACTGCCTTCGGCGAGGATTGGGTCACAAAGTGCAGTGCAAAACCTATTGAGAAAGAGCGCTTTCCAATCTGCCAGTGTGCCTTTGTGCTGCTCGTGCCCATGAATGCTCGTGCTTCGGCTCCGCAGTATGATCTTCTGGTTTTGCTTAATGTCCCGCCAAACAGCAAGTGCAATTGAGCGCCTCTGAATTTGATGCCTCACTGTGCAAAGCGCATCCACAACTGCTGACTGCTTGCTACAGCACTTCAAGACTCCGCAAGGAGAATGCCCTGGAGAACGCCCTAGGCACCAAGCCTGCTCCCAGCAACACGCCGCTCAGCCAAAGAGCGCGGCTCAGGCCAGGAGCGCAGGTCTGCTGACTGCCTTCGGCGAGGATTGGCTCACAAAGTGCAGTGCGAAACCTATTGAGAAAGAGCGCTTTCCAATCTGCCAGTGTGCCTTTGTGCCGCTCGTGCCCATGAGTGCTCGTGCTTCGGCTCCGCAGTATGATCTTTTGGTTTTGCTTAATGTCCCGCCAAACAGCAAGCGCAACTGGACGCCTCTGAATTTGATGCCTCACTGTGCAAAGCACATCCACAACTGCTGACTGCTTGCTACAGCACTTCAAGACTCCGCAAGGAGATTGCCTTGGAGAACGCCCTAGGCACCAGGCCTGCTCCCAGCAACATGCCGCTCAGCCAAAGAGCGCGGCTCAGGCCAGGAGCGCTGGTCTGCTGACTGCCTTCGGCGCGGATTGGCTCACAAAGTGCAGTACGAAGCCCCATGTTTGCTCGTGCTTCGGCTCCGCAGTATGATCTTCTGGTTTTGTTTAATGTCCCGCCCTAACAGCAAGTGCAATTGGACGCCTCTGAATTTGATGCCACTATGCAAAGCGCATCCACAACTGCTGACTGCTTGCTACAGCACTTCAAGACTCCGCAAGGAGAATGCCCTGGAGAACGCCCTAGGCACCAAGCCTGCTCCCAGCAACATGCCGCTCAGCCAAAGAGCGCGGCTCAGGCCAGGAGCGCAGGTCTGCTGACTGCCTTCGGCGAGGACTGGCTCACAAAGTGCAGTACGAAGCCTATTGAGAAAGAGCGCTTTCCAATCTGCCAGTGTGCCTTTGTACTGTTCGTGCCCATGTTTGCTTGTGCTTCGGCTCCGCAGTATGATCTTCTGTTTTTGCTTAATGTCCCGCCAGACAGCAAGTGCAAGTGGACGCCTCTGAATTTGATGCCTCACTGTGCAAAGCACATCCACAACTGCTGACTGCTTGCTACAGCACTTCAAGACTCCGCAAGGAGAATGCCCTGGAGAACGCCCTAGGCACCAAGCCTGCTCCCAGCAACATGCCGCTCAGCCAAAGAGTGCGGCTCAGGCCAGGAGCGCAGGTCTGCTGACTGCCTTCGGCGAGGATTGGCTCACAAAGTGCAGTGCAAAACCTATTGAGAAAGAGCGCTTTCCAATCTGCCAGTGTGCCTTTGTACTGTTCGTGCCCATGTTTGCTCGTGCTTCGGCTCCGCAATATGATCTTCTGGTTTTGCTTAATGTCCCGCCAAACAGCAAGTGCAATTGGACGCCTCTGAATTTGATGCCTCACTGTGCAAAGCACATCCACAACTGCTGACTGCTTGCTACAGCACTTCAAGACTCCGCAAGGAGAATGCCCTGGAGAACGCCCTAGGCACCAAGCCTGCTCCCAGCAACATGCCGCTCAGCCAAAGAGCGCGGCTCAGGCCAGGAGCGCAGGTCTGCTGACTGCCTGCGGCGAGGATTGGCTCACAAAGTGCAGTGCAAAACCTATTGAGAAAGAGCGCTTTCCAATCTGCCAGTGTGCCTTTGTGCTGCTCGTGCCCATAAATGCTCGTGCTTCGGCTCCGCAGTATGATCTTCTGGTTTTGCTTAATGTCCCGCCAAACGGCAAGTGCAATTGGACGCCTCTGAATTTGATGCCTCACTGTGCAAAGCACATCCACAACTGCTGACTGGTTGCTACAGCACTTCAAGACTCCGCAAGGAGAATGCCCTGGAGAACGCCCTAGGCCCCAGGCCTGCTCCCAGCAACATGCCGCTCACAAAGGAACGCACGGCAAATGCAGGGCAATGCAAAGATGTGCCTTTTTGCGGCAATGCCCGCTCGCGGGCAGAGTCTTCTGCAGTCACGAGAATGAGCTCAAGGCTTGTCTTCGGCAATTGCCTCGGCCTCTCAAAGCTGGTCCCCGTCCATGGTCTTGTTCATCCTCAAGCGCTTGGCAGGGCGCGTGTCCGTCAACAAAGACGCCACCTCTGCTTGATGATCCTTGCAGGCCTCAACAGCCACACTTTGCTCCAGGTGTCCCTTGTATTGGTCGGCTGTGTACTTGAACGCCTTGCAGTAGAGCTCCGCTGCAACCTCCTTGACTGCGTGGATCTGAAAAGGCTGCGAGCCATCAGCCTGACACTCCACCAGGGCCTTGCCGCACTCGCCCTTGCGCATGCGGAGAGCAACCCGCACCGTTTCAGGTGCGCCAGCCTGCTGCAATGTGATCTTTTCCAGGCAGGCTGCGCAGCTGGCTTTGATGGTCACCTCCAAGCCGTCTATTCCGGCTGGAACTTTGGCATCCGCGTCGCTCTCTGCCTTGAAGACCACGCAAGCCTGATCAATGACCTTGGCCTTGCCATTGTGGCTGGCAATCATCTGCCCAACCTTGTCCCGCGACAACATCGAGCAGCAGACACATGGCAATCCGGGGCTGCTGCTAAACATGTTGATGCCCGTGTTCTTGTACAAGCCGCACACTCCGTCCGCAGTAATGGCAGGCGCAAGGTCGAAGAGATCCACCTGCTGATCTCCTCCACGGCCAAGCCCCACAGCAAACCGCGCAACATGTTCGACCCCCGCAGCGTGGGCCATGAGGTCCTGCAAGAAGCTGGGAGCATCCAAGTCATCCAGGCCGTAGTGGCTAGACAGAGCCCGCAGCGCGTCCTCCCACAATGTGCACTCCAGCGCTTGCAGGGGATCCTGCGCGTGGCGACTGACAGCCGTGCAGCTCAAACAAGCACGACTAGTTAACTAGTTAAAGAAACAAACGTGTCCACGTGAGTCACACTAACTTGACGCCAAAAGAGCTCCTGAAGGCTGACCTGCACGCAGTACACAGGCTGTCCAGCATCTTCTCCATGCTTTTCGCACTCCAGGCGGGTTCCGCCGTGGTAAGCGGTCAGCATCTTGCGGCACCGAGAGCAGCCCTTGTAGAATGCCACGCCTGACTCTGCGGAAATCCCATGCACATCCCGCACAAAGCAGCCAGGAACCATGACCGTGCCCTTGTATGCGTCCTGCTGCACGTCCGCCTTTGCCATGTGCTCCACGAGCGAGAGGTTCGCCCTGGAAACCTCCTCATCGAGCTTCTCCTGCCTGCTCTTGCGATAAACAGCCGACATACTGGTCGGGCATGCAGCCAGGCCCGTCCGCACGGTGTCTGCCTCCGCACCCTCGAGCTTGCGCACCGAGGTTCCAGTGGTGGAAGAGAGCTTCACATTGTTGACACCCTCTGGCACTGCCATGATCCAGTCAATGCGGTACACTTCGCCAACTGAAGCGCCGCTCATGCAACTGGCAAGCTCTGGTCCCCAGAATGCTGCAGACAAGCCTTGTCATGCAAGGAAATCCTCAGGTTTGTCACAGGCTTCTTCATGCCAGGTGAGACTTCTGGCTCTGTCATGGTGCCAGCCTCGTGGATGGCCGCAATCACCGACACCAAGCAGGTGTTAGTGAGCATAGAAATGTCTCCAAGGGCAATTGTGGGCAAGACCTTGGGTAGCTTGCCGCTATCCTCCACCTCCTTCACAACGGTGTGAACATCGAAGGACACCTTCAAGCTGCGAGTATGCCACGTCAAAGACTTTCCTTTGGATGCCACCTTTGCGTTCTCACTGGAGATCACCTTCCCGACTCGGGAAATCACCTCTTTGCTCAGGGCTGCAGTGTCTACAACTGACCATGCTTCCACAAGAAGCACTGACTGAAAGTTGTCATTGTCCACCACGACAGCTACGGCCTTCTCCTTGGTCCGCAAGACTTCCTTGTACCCAAGCACAACTCGGACAACCAACTTCTCTTTGAGCCTGCCACCCTTCACTGCTAACTTCTGGATCTCAACGGTAAACTTCTCTTTACACGCCATACGCCGAAGGCAACACACTTCTGCACTGCCTATTCAAAGCTTGAGCTTGCCGCGGCCCCTGGTCCAAGCACAAACGCAAAGCTGCAAAGCTAGACTATGCAAAGCACATCCACAACTGCTGACTGCTTGCTACAGCACTTCAAGACTCCGCAAGGAGAATGCCCTGGAGAACGCCCTAGGCACCAGGCCTGCTCCCAGCAACATGCCGCTCAGCCAAAGAGCGCGGCTCAGGCCAGGAGCGCAGGTCTGCTGACTGCCTTCGGCGAGGATTGGCTCACAAAGTGCAGTGCAAAACCTATTGAGAAAGAGCGCTTTCCAATCTGCCAGTGTGCCTTTGTGCTGCTCGTGCCCATGAATGCTCGTGCTTCGGCTCCGCAGTATGATCTTCTGGTTTTGCTTAATGTCCCGCCAAACAGCAAGTGCAATTGAGCGCCTCTGAATTTGATGCCTCACTGTGCAAAGCACATCCACAACTGCTGACTGCTTGCTACAGCACTTCAAGACTGCGCAAGGAGAATGCCCTGGAGAACGCCCTAGGCACCAGCTGAACTGGCAATTGTTCATGTTTTTAAAGTTTTTTTTTGCATTTTGCATTTTTCCAGTTTTTCGCGGGCATTTGTTGCTCGATTTATGTCGCTGAGGTTGACTTTAGAGAAGTTAATTGTTTGGGTTTCAAGTTGTTTTTCGGTGGGAAGGGGGGGGGCAGGACGGGACAATAATAATGCGCCTGTGTGCCCATTGTTGCGAAAGGCTTGATTCCTGCAGCATCGTTTTTCGCTGGCTGCTCGCCTTCGGAGAGTCGGAACGGAATTATCTTTTTTCATCTCGTTTGTTGTTTGAGGGCTCGGTGGCTTGCCCCGCCCCACCCCCCCTCCTCCCAAGCCCATCAATGATTGACGTTGTTGCGTTTGCTTGCGCGGGTTCGGTGGCTTGCCCCGCCCGGCCCCCTTAAACAAATCCTTTCGCTGGTTTTGGCGGCATGCCCCATCCAGCAATAGGGTGCCCAGCTCCCCCTTCCTCCAAAGTGAAGCCCGCCAACGATTGAAGTTGTTGCATGTGCTTGTGCTTGCGGGTTCGGTGGCTTGCCCCGCCCGGCCCCTACGCCTTCTGCAAGCAAGAGGGAAGGCGTCTCAGGGCAAAAGAGTCTCACAGGAAAGCTGTGAGCTGACGAACGGACATGCGTGATGCGACGCAAGAGCCGCCCAAGTCGTATGTTTCTTGCGGATCATTTTTTTCAAGCGGATAGATGTGTTTTTGCAGAGCAGATATGCTTGTTGCGGTGTGCGCTTGCGGGTTCGGTGGCTTGCCCCGCCCGGATCATTTTTTTCAAGCGGATAGATGTGTTTTTGCAGAGCAGATATGCTTGTTGCGGTGTGCGCTTGCGGGTTCGGTGGCTTGCCCCGCCCGGCGCCCACAATGACTTACGCTGGTTTCGGTGGCATGCCCCATCCAGCAGTAAGGATTCAGAAGGGGCGCTTCTGAAACCGCCCTTTTCCGGAAGCGTTCTCAGAAAGGCTTTCGTGTGTAAGGGCGGCTCGAAAAACAAGACTTTCGTGGGAAGTCTGCCTGCAAGTCTTGTTTGGTTTTTTGAAATTTCGGCTCTGACATGTTGAGCTGCCCGTAGAAGGGAAATAGCGTGAGAAAGTCTACCAATGGCACGGGGGCCTGCTCGCAAAAAAGGCAGCGCAGTGAAGCAGCTTTGCTCCTACAAGAAGTGCAGAGCCAAGAAGGACGTGAAGAACAAGTGCCACACAGCTCGCCGTGAGGAAGTGGATCTTGAGCAATGTCGGCCCTTAAGAAGCCACTGTCAGACTGTAAAGTTCTGTGGTCAAACGCATTTAGACGCCTGCCTATCAAAAAAGAAAAAAGCTCCACCCGTTGGAAGGGAAGCTCTGGACACGCAGCAACTGGCCAGCCTTTTTCAAACCTTGGTGGAGCTAGGCCGTGGCCACAAACAAAAAAAGGGTCCTGCGGGCTGCGTGGGGCTTGTCTTTGTTTACAAGCTTCAGGTTCGGAAAGACTTGCAGCGTGCCCGTGTCCATGTCTGCCAAATCGCAGTATAGCTGAGCAAAAGCTTCGTGCTCCGACGACAAGAGCTGTCCCGCCAGCTGCTCGTCGGCTGCTGCGTCGGCGTTGAACACCTCAACCCGCCCAAGCCACTGCTGAAACGCAACTGCGTCCACAGCTGGGACAAGCCACCTGAGCTGGCACAGTTGGCTTCAGGCAGTCCTTGAATTCTTCGGCACCAGCAAAAGGGGTGGCCAAATCATGAAGCAAATGCACAACAGCCGTGGCAACTCCGATTAGAGAAGTCATGAAGCTTCCGTGCGCCCAGAAGCATGTGCTGAGGACGCAAATCCTCTGCGCACGTTTGCCCTCGCAAGACAAGGATCGTCTTTGAGCAGTCCGAGCGCACAGCGACGCAGGAGGCAGCGTTGAGCGTTTGTCGCGTGCGAGCCCGCAGCGACTCGGCCAAGCAAAACTTGAGCTTCTGGGCTCGGCGGCGAAGGATCTTGCCGCCGGACCAGGCAATCCCATCATCACCGCCATCTTTTCCCTTGCGTGTAGCTCGCAGAACTGCGATGAACTCTTCGAGAGATGGGGCCATCAGACGCAGTCGGATGTCTTCATTTGATGCTGCGGCCTGGTGCCTTTTGGTTTTCTCATGGTCTCGGAAGTGGCTGACCTGCAATGAAGCAATGGTTCGAAACTCCGCTGACACATGCCCAGCAGCTTTGCAGGCAGCACAGCTGACGGAGAAGTCGCCTGTGTCCCACTGCACAGCCTCCAGCCACGGGAACTGCTCGGTCCACCGCCTGCCAAAGCGGGCCCATGCGCTCTGCGCGGACATTCCGGGCAGCTTGGGCCAGAGCTCTGTCCAGAGGGCGCTTGCGGAAAAAAACTTAAGTTTACGCACGAAGTTCCTGTCCAGAGGGCCTCTGGAATCCGAAGGTCGACTCAACAAGCCGCAGCGCTGTGGACTGTCCAAAGAACTAGAAACGTTCGAACACCGGGAATTTTGCGTTCCCCGAAATCCAAGAATTGTAGTCCACTCGACGGTCCGCAGCGCTGTGGTTTGTGGAGACAACTTATGGAAACCGGAGACCCTCTGGACAAATGGGGTCTGTGGAAAAAAACTTAAGTTTTTTTCCGCGGACCAAGCTGATCGGGCGAGCGTACGTGTCATGTGGGAAACTGGATGGACGTGACCGGACTGTCTCTCGGCAACCCTTGATCCTCAGCACTTCATGACGCCGGACGTCCTGGTTCAATGTCCTTGGCTGGCCGCATGTTTTAAGCACCGTTCGATCTGCGTTTGACATCTCTCTGCAGCAGCAGCGGGGGCACGCCGCCGACACAAATCCAATGTGCTGGGGCAAGCCACCAACGCGGGCCGGGGCACGCCGCCTGAGCCACATCATGGTTACCAAACTCACAAACTTACGCGGCAGAGCGCGCAAAAGCCCAGCGTTGCGGCTCAGTTGGGCTCCCTGTCCGTGGGGTCGTCCTCCTCTTCCTCGGCTGGGTCTTCAGTGGCCGGCGGCGCGGCAGCCTTAGCCTTGACTCGTCTGCCCTGCTTGGGGGCTGGTCCGGCGCCTGGAGCAGGCGGCGCAGCTTTCAGCATGTTCTCCACCAGGTCGACCAGCGCCGAGCCACTGTTCGGCGGCCCCCCGTTCTTGGCAGGACAAGGCACTGGGCCAAGCTGCCCAGCCTGGCTTTGCTCACCGGCGGCGCTTTTCCTCCGGCCTTGCCCCTCGTCAAGTTGCTGTCACCGCTGTCCGCCTGCGTCGTGGTTGGCAGGCACGGCGAGACCACTTGGTTTCAGACTGGCTTGAAATATTAAAGCAGCAGAATAAACACTGCGTCTGTGCATAAAACAAAGCACCGGCCTGCAGAGCGTCGTGCAGCTCTGCAGCGTAGTACTGACTGCTTGGGCTCTGCATGTGTGCCCACAAGCGGCCGAAGAGGTACTGCCGCACGACATTCATGTGAAGACTATTTTCCAGGCTGAGGTAAGCCGCCAACGCCGTCGCTGCTGCGGCTGCCTTGCTCGTCAGTCTGACCCTTGCCCGCCGCGCTGCCGCCTTTGAGGCCCTTCCCGCCAATTGGCACAACCACGCCCATGAAGAAACCTACGATGACGCCAGCAACGAGCGCAATCGACATGGCTGCAGCTTTCACGCCAGTGATGGGGCAAGCCACCAAAACACGGCCGCGCCTGCTAACTTGTCTAAGAGCCGCCAAGCGAACACAGCGCGTCTTGACTTGCCAAGCACGGATGGTTTTGCAAGCGGGCCGCAGTGACCAAACCTTGGAAGCAATAGAAAACAACTGCCTTCTGAGCTGTCGCCATTGAGTCTGTGTAACCGCACAATCAGGAAAACTTTAAGGTCACTAGTCCAGATTTGGCGTGGGGCCAGGCCCCACTAAAAGTCTGGTAGTAACAATGCGCGCGCCCGCAGCTTGCAGGCAGACTTCCCACGAAAGTCTTGTTTTTCGAGCCGCCCTTACACACGAAAGCCTTTCTGAGAACGCTTCCGGAAAAGGGCGGTTTCAGAAGCGCCCCTTCTGAATCCTTACTGCTGGATGGGGCATGCCACCGAAACCAGCGTAAGTCATTGTGGGCGCCGGGCGGGGCAAGCCACCGAACCCGCAAGCGCACACCGCAACAAGCATATCTGCTCTGCAAAAACACATCTATCCGCTTGAAAAAAATGATCCGGGCGGGGCAAGCCACCGAACCCGCAAGCGCACACCGCAACAAGCACATCTGCTCTGCAAAAACACATCTATCCGCTTGAAAAAAATGATCCGCAAGAAACATACGACTTGGGCGGCTCTTGCGTCGCATCACGCATGTCCGTTCGTCAGCTCACAGCTTTCCTGTGAGACTCTTTTGCCCTGAGACGCCTTCCCTCTTGCTTGCAGAAGGCGTAGGGGCCGGGCGGGGCAAGCCACCGAACCCGCAAGCACAAGCACATGCAACAACTTCAATCGTTGGCGGGCTTCACTTTGGAGGAAGGGGGAGCTGGGCACCCTATTGCTGGATGGGGCATGCCGCCAAAACCAGCGAAAGGATTTGTTTAAGGGGGCCGGGCGGGGCAAGCCACCGAACCCGCGCAAGCAAACGCAACAACGTCAATCATTGATGGGCTTGGGAGGAGGGGGGGTGGGGCGGGGCAAGCCACCGAGCCCTCAAACAACAAACGAGATGAAAAAAAACAATTCCGTTCCGACTCTCCGAAGGCGAGCAGCCAGCGAAAAACGATGCTGCAGGAATCAAGCCTTTCGCAACAATGGGCACACAGGCGCATTATTATTGTCCCGTCCTGCCCCCCCCCCTTCCCACCGAAAAACAACTTGAAACCCAAACAATTAACTTCTCTAAAGTCAACCTCAGCGACATAAATCGAGCAACAAATGCCCGCGAAAAACTGGAAAAATGCAAAATGCAAAAAAAAACTTTAAAAACATGAACAATTGCCAGTTCAGCCAGGCCTGCTCCCAAAGAGCGCGGCTCAGGCCAGGAGCGCAGGTCTGCTGACTGCCTTCGGTGAGGATTGGCTCACAAAGTGCAGTACGAAGCCTACTGAGAAAGAGCGCTTTCCAATCTGCCAGTGTGCCTTTGTACTGTTCGTGCCCATGTTTGCTCGTGCTTCGGCTCCGCAATATGATCTTCTGGTTTTGCTTAATGTCCCGCCAAACAGCAAGTGCAATTGGACGCCTCTGAATTTGATGCCTCACTGTGCAAAGCACATCCACAACTGCTGACTGCTTGCTACAGCACTTCAAGACTCCGCAAGGAGAATGCCCTGGAGAACTTAAGTTGGTGTCTTTCAAGGCAAGTTTACCCTTTTCAACTTTGGTTGAAAGGGAAACCACAGGAAAACCAACCCAATTCGGGCACATTCCTGGGGTTGGGTGAAGATGGGGGTATAGGAACTTGTGTCAGAATCAAGCTTCTGGCATGGCACGCCCTGGCATGGCATGTGGCCTGCCGCATTTGTGATGGGCAGCGGCAGAGGAGCCATGCTGCCAGAAGCATGCTCAAGCATTTGTTGCTGATTCTGCGGTTGGCCGAACTGCATTCTTTACCTTGGCATAGTTTGCCTTGGACAACAAACACATACAGTTGGGTTGAAGGCCCTTTTTGTTGTACCATTTATAAACACCAACTTAAACACCAATTGGGTGAAGGTAGATTGTGCAATTCCTCCCTTTTGGTTCAGTCATGCCCTTTACCCACATCGGGACTGCCAGCTACCTTCAATTTGGGTTACCAGGTGCGGTGTTTTTTTTTGGTTTGGCCAGTGCTTGCCACCAGCGCTTGCTGGTTCCTGGCTTCTTAGCTGTTAACTGAAACAATTGTGCTTCGACTTTCTTGGAGGCAAACAAATCTGTTGAGCATTGGATTGCCGCTGGCTTCTCTTGACCCAATGCCTCTTTCTTTCTGAGCCGAAAAAAACGATAACATCGTGAGCAATTTGCTCGCGCCAGCGTTGTGGCAAGACCGACGTGGCCACCACGAGCTCGTACGACCTGGCCGCACCCCGCATAGCACAAGGTTCTCAAGCTCATTCGTAGTCGTGAGTCCCCCCCGTATCCAAGTTCCAATGTTGGTGGGTTTCCTCAATCCCGGGTTCACACGCAGCACGAAGCCCTCCAAGTACAATGCATAAAAAGGGGTGGTCTTCCTTACCCCCTGCCAAAAGGGTACTGAGCCCAAAATATACATGAACACCACGGGGACCTCAGTTAGAATATTTGTTTTTGGGCCGGGAAACCTTCATCAGGGGATACCCTTAAAGAACGTGTGCTAGCTATAGGGTGAGGGAGTTTACCCGCTGCAGCAGCTGCAAAAGGTGACCTCCCTAGGCAATATCTTGCATTTGCGAGCACGTCCCCTGGAATTTGTTTATTGTTGCAGGGTACCTCAAAACATCCCAAAAAGAGGCCCCTTCTTAGCTACCACATTTCCTTGTCCAAAAGATGACCTCCCTAGGCAAAAACAACATATATAAGAGAGTTAACCGGTGGCCGTCTCTTCTCTCTTCACCTTTCCTCACATGTTTCCAAAACTTGGCCAAAACTTGGCCCGGCCCCCCCTGCGTGGCGCACCTGGCCACACTTGGCGTGGTAGCCATCGAAGATGTTGTCGGCGAAGCAGCGGTGCGCCGAAACACAAACACCTTTGAGAAATCCTTATTTCGGAAACCACCTCGTAATTCGGGGTTTGGGGCTCGCATGGGGCCGGTAAGCTCGCTATAAATTTGGCCAGATTGGATTTCAACATGTGCTTCGATATCCACCGCAGGCTTCTCTTAAACAAGCAAGAACATACAACAAACAGCATCTTGGACAGGCTCTCCAAATAAACACAAAATGCCTCAGCCAGCGAAGCATCTGCATCCGGAGCAGGATACTGGGCAGGATCCACTGGCAGCACTCTGGGCGGGATCCAGTGGCGGACCCCTCTGGCGGGATACTGGGCGGGATACTGGGCAAGACTGGCGGACTCCTCTGGCAGGATACTGGGCGGAATCCGCTGGCGGAATTGTTTGGACCACTCTGGCGGGATACTGGGCGGGATCCACTGCCGGAATTGTTTGGCGGGATACTGGGCGGGATCCACTGGCGGACCATACCTGGCGGGATACCGGGCGGGATCCACTGGCGGAATTGCTTGGCGGGACAGTGGGCGGGATCCACTGCCGGACTCCTCTGGTGGGATACTGGGCGGGATCCACTGGCGGAATTGCTTGGCGGGATGCTGGGCGGGATCCACTGCCGGACCCCTCTGGCGGGATACTGGACGGGATCCACTGGCGGAATTGCTTGGCGGGATGCTGGGCGGGATCCACTGCCGGACTCCTCTGGCGGGATACTGGACGGGATCCACTGGCGGACCACTCTGGCGGGATACTGGGCGGGATCCACTGGCATCCTCTCTGGCGGGATACTGGGCGGGATCCACTAACATCCTTTCTGGCGGGATACTGGGCGGGATCCAGTGACATCCTCTCTGGCGGGATACTGGGCGGGATCCACTGGCATCCTCTCTGGCGGGATACTGGGCGGGATCCACTGGCATCCTCTCTGGCGGGATACTGGGCGGGATCTACTGGCATCCTCTCTGGCGGGATACTGGGCGGGATCCACTGGCATCCTCTCTGGCGGGCGGGATCCACTGCCTCTCTGGCGGGATACTGGGCGGGATCCACTGGCATCCTCTCTGGCGGGATACTGGGCGGGATCCACTGGCATCCTCTCTGGCGGGATACTGGGCGGGATCCACTGGCATCCTCTCTGGCGGGATACTGGGCGGGATCCACTGGCGGGATACTGGGCGGGATACTGGGCGGGATCCACTGGCATCCCCTCTGGCGGGATACTGGGCGGGATCCACTGCATCCTCTCTGGCGGGGGCGGGATCCACTGGGCGGGATCTGGGGGCATACTGGGATACTGGCGCTGGGATCCACTGGCATCCTCTCTGGCGGGATACTGGGGCGGGATACCATCTGGCGGGATACTGGGCGGGATCCACTGGCATCCTCTCTGGCGGGATACTGGGCGGGATCCACTGGCATCCTCTCTGGCGGGATACTGGGCGGGATCCACTGGCATCCTCTCTGGCGGGATACTGGGCATCCTGGCTCTGGCGGGATACTGGGCGGGATCCACTGGCATCCTCTCTGGCGGGATACTGGGCGGGATCCACTGGCATCCTCTCTGGCGGGATACTGGGCGGGATCCACTGGCATCCTCTCTGGCGGGATACTGGGCGGGATCCACTGGCATCCTCTCTGGCGGGATACTGGGCGGGATCCACTGGCATCCTCTCTGGCGGGATACTGGGCGGGATCCACTGGCATCCTCTCTGGCGGGATACTGGCGGGATACTGGGCGGGATCCACTGGCATCCTCTCTGGCGGGATACTGGGCGGGATCCACTGGCATCCTCTGGCGGGATACTGGGCGGGATCCACTGGCATCCTCTCTGGCGGGATACTGGGCGGGATCCACTGGCATCCTCTCTGGCGGGATACTGGGCGGGATCCACTGGCATCCTCTCTGGCGGGATACTGGGCGGGATCCACTGGCATCCTCTCTGGCGGGATACTGGGCGGGATCCACTGGCATCCTCTCTGGCGGGATCCTCTCTGGCAGGAGGGTGTGGTGTAGCAGCATCGCAAGCGTGGATTCTACTTCAAATCTAACAACCCCTTCCTGTCGGGTGGGGAACTCCCCGTTCAACGGCCAGCAAAACCACAGCCTGAACTGAAAAGGCGAGTTTCGGACCCCAAGCCAAAAAAGGGACCTACTAAAAACACAAACACAAGGAAGGAGCTACGGGTCGACCGCCAGCCATCCCTGCCTGGCGCCCTCCAGGAGACCTGCCAAGCGCAGCACCAAAGCCTTCTGCTCCTCGGGGTGACTTCCGAATGCCTGGAGTCTCCCGGGTAAACAAAACCGGTTTGTCTCCAAACGGGGGGGTCTATTCCAAGAAATCCTCACTTGGCTGTGTCTGTAAGCAAAACCAAGCCTCAAAGTGGGTGGATATTACTGTTGGTTCCCCACATCCAACCCCAGAAGGGGTGAATTCCACATACTAAACCCGCCTGGGTTCAGTCAGGGTTGGTGAAGTTGCAATGCTGATGATCATAAAGACTCAAGGTGTTTTTTTCAGGCCAGAATTTCCAGCAGGAAAGAAGAATCGGCACTCTTTGGAGCTTAAATTGGAAACCCCTCCAAAAAAAGGAAACGGGCAACATGCAGAAATTCTGGGATTGCTGGTTTGGAGGTCAGGGAACCCATCATAATGCGTACTCAACTGGGTTACATACATGGGCTCTTTCTTTTGACATGCAAACCCCCACCAAAGCAAGACAGCGGTTTCCTTTTGGGTCCCTTTGAACCCACTTCAAAAAGAACAAAGAAACCATCCAACGCCGGGTCATTTGGGGCCCCTGAACCAGATTCGCCCCATACTGCTGGACAAAACATGTAGCCATGCTCGGTGCATGACCCTAAGGGTCCTGGCGCTTGGTATGCAGAACCCGGGGTGCCCCGTACCACACCCCAAGTTGTTTTAGGGTGTCAAAATGACCTATTTTGAGGAATGTCTCAAATTCCATCGGAACCCTTGGGGTAGACAAGTTTAGACACTTTGACCGAACCTATCCATTCCTTGTCGCCTCGGAATTCCGTTCACAACTGCAGCCTCTACCACTCCTTGGTGAGCTCGGCTGGCTTGTCTGATGGGGGCCTGCACGCAGTGAACTCTTGAAGACTTAGCTTCCGTTTGCTCAAGTCCCCTGGCAAAACATATTATCATTTCATATTACTCAGTAGTGAGATAGATTCCCTTACAAACCAGCAGGATATGGTTAAGCAAATGCAATTCACAGGTTAGCACCAAACATGTTTACTATTCCAAAACCGCGCTCGCTTAGGAATGTGAGACAGAGTGCCCATCAGGTGAGCCGCAGTCAACATGTACTGCGTGCCCTTGCCCCAATCGGATCTGCGCGAACCTCCATTTAATGGTAATGCGGCGTATAAGGGCGTATACGACCTGGTGAACAAGGGCGCCCTTTTTGCGGTTGCACAGTGTGTTGGTGGGCCAACTAGCAAAACCAAAAAAAGGCGCGAACAACTGGGACGTCAAAGTAAGGAGGTCTCCTTTTGGGATGGGATTCGTTGGCACCAGGACCAGGGAAGGAACTGCGGGGGGTCGCCAAAATGGGAACTCAATCTGGCACACTCTTTTTTTCCATTCTCGAGTAGCAGAAAGCGACACCAAGAAATGGGAGGTTAATTTTAGGCAGGGTGTGGCTGCTAATTTGCCTTCGCCTCTCGGATGAGCTTTTGCCCCGATCAAAGATTGCTTGCAAGACGGCATCCTCACTTGCCCGAAGGACCTGGAAATAAAAGGCTAACCTTTTGGGATCCTTGCTAGAATTGAACCAGAAAGGGAAACCAAAAGGCTTGTCTTGACACGTAAGGAGCTGCATCATGAGTCTCTCGTGTTTTCCCTTTAGGGTCCGTGAGCTCGACACTAAAATCGGCAGATAGACGAATTGGGTGACCAATTCGTTGAATGGGTTCTACAGAAGTTCTACCCTAAACATAATGGACTCTCAACAAGGAACCGAGGCTTCACCAACCCCTGATTATCGAACAGGGGGGGACAAACCGATTTAGACTGGGACAATCTTTAGCTTTGACCCGCCTGAAGAGGTCTGACGGAATACGGGCTCTCCCAAAAGCCCCAAAGAAGCAAACGTTGGTCACGATTGTGGAGGAAACTACCTTGCATGGACAAACTCCCGCACCGGTTAAAATGAAGTCCAGCAAGAAACAAATCCAACTGGTGTGGGATGTTGCACAATATTGAAAATTGTTTGGCACCTCATATTGCCTTGGCCAAATCATATGGTAGCAACCAAGGCCTGTGAAGCTTCTCTCCGAGTTGCGATAAGTCCAACTCCGGCGAAAAGGCCGCCGAGCACGGCGCTGAAAAGGACGCCGCCGCACGCCGTAGCTGCGGCGGAAGGGGCGGCCTGGAGATGAAGTAGAAGGGAGCCGGCTGGCAACCAGAACCCCCAGCCAGGGAAAAAATGGGCACTCTTTTGTTTGTTTAGTTTAAAGGGAACCCTCCACAAACCGGCAAAAAGGAAGCAACCCACGTGCGTGTGAAAAAGGTGTGGGAGAGGGGTTGGTTTCACCTCGCTAAGCATCTTGGGGCCACTCCTTTCTGAGGTCCAAGCACCTTCTAAGGGAGGTCACTTCTTCAAGGGTCCGAAGTCTGCTTAGGCCTTGCAAAGTGAGACCCTCCAAATTGCCCGAGTCAAAGGGTGGTTTAAAGAAACACCTTCAAGGGCCCAGTGGAAACCAGCAAGGAATACTTCCAGATTAATTAAGTCAAGGGAGGAGTTGGAAGTCCGAGTCTCCTTCTCACCCTTGAATAGTGGGGTCATGACCCCTTATTATTGGGCGACGACACCATTTTTAAGGGTCTGGAGGCTGCCGGACCAAAGATATGTCCTTCGCATCAAAGCCTCTCATTTCCAAGGTTAACATCAAATACCGCTTGTTTTCGGGATTAACATGCCTCTTATTTCCAGGACTAAAATCAAATCCCTGTTATTTCCAGGATTAGAATCAAATACCTCTCATTCCAAGGATTAAAATATTTGTTGACCTCCATCACCATGACTACTTTAGCGCAAAGGGGACTCCCTAGGCGATGGCCCACTTTGGCAATTTGAATTGAAGAGCTGATTTTGATGACATGGAACCCAAGAAACTGACTCATTTTCAGGAATCTCCTGAGTTGGCGACTTTTTTGGGTTCCCTGTGAAAATTTGGGGAGGTAACGGAACTGACTGCGATGCCCAAAGGGCCTGCATGGCTGGCAGCTGGCCCTCTCCAGTTCCAGCGACAGGCAGACCAGCTGCTCCTCACCTCCAACCACTGGACTGGAGTGGTGTTTGTTGGGAGATGGAAGTAGAAACCCATAAGTTGTCAGGGTCCTGGAACCGGCACCCGCAGCACCCGGGGTGTCCCGTACCACACCCCAAGTTAGGGGTGTCAAAAGGACCTATTTTGAGGCCTGATAAAATAGTCCAATTATTGGGTTTGCCTCGTTCGTTTGGCCGACAAAGATGCAAGGATCCCACACGAATCTCACGCCAGGCTCCTTCGAGACCCTTTCAGGGCACAGTAATCAGTAGAAACTTTATCAGCGGAAGCTGGGAAAAAAAGACCCGTCTACCGTTCCCAGTGGATCCCAGTTGCCACTATGGTACCCAGCCATTTGTTTTTAGTCTTCTTAGGGTAGATCCCGTTTGTCCATTTTCCTTTTGGTCTTTGGTTCCCTCAGAAAAAAAAGAACTCGGATTGTTGCCCATTTCTTTGATCTGATCACTCCAGGAGACTTCCATTTGGGTGGCTCGTCTTTTTTGGGGGACTCCCCGCAGTCCCTGCCCCCCTCCGCAATCTTTTGGTGGTGTTCTTTTTGCTTTCCCTTTCAAACCACAGAAATTAGGTCCCCTCAAGAGTTGCCGTTGAAGGGGGAACGAAAAAAGAGCCAAGAGGAACTGGAGGTCAGAGCTTCTTCTGTTCAAAGATCCAATGCGAGGTCCTATGAAGGGCCGGCTTTGCAAAAGTGGGTCCAAAGGGAAACCACTGGCCGCACCTCACTCCAGCTTGGCCCTTTACGCGCTCCGTGACTGACTATAGAACATCAGCGGGCATGACATGGGCACGAGCATTTCACCCATGTCAATGACCGGCCGCAAGCTGGGTAGTTCATTCCAGTCGCGCTGCTTCGAGTCACCACCAAAATGCTGCTGGGAGCGGTCATCCTCTGACCAAATCCGTGCTGCATCGCGTAAACCGTCCGGCAATCGATGATGGCCCATGAATGGCACCCAAAACATCGGGTGAGTCTTCTGTTGAGACTCGGTACACTTTTTGGCGCGGATTTTTATCGGAACACAAGCAGTACACCACACATGTTGGTCGATTTCTCTGTTTCAAACAAACCCGGCTTCTGGACAGGGATTCTTGGTGTATCCTTTTTGGCCCAGTGATGTTTTTTCCCGAACAAAAACGCGAATCTAAGCGCTGAAGCTCCCGATCCTGCAGGGTTAACCTTCAATCCCTTGGTCCGGGCAAGCCTTCATCAGGGTGGTCTCCATGTCGAATCAAACCTGGGGTGATGTCCCCTTAGGTGATTAATGACCCCATTTTTTAAGGGTCATGAAGGCTCCAGGCAAGGATTTCTTCAAGACCCTGATCAACCAATCTGGGTCTGATCTTTAATCGATCGGTTACTTTGTTTCAACCCATTTTGGTTCATGCCAGCCCCGCTCGCAGAAAGTGCCGATTAGTGTTTGACCCGTTTTCTGAAGTCTAAAGGTGAAAGCAAACCCTGCAGGCTGGGGGGAGGGGCCTACATTGATAGAGGGACCCTTTATGTTCCTGCAAACGGGTTCAAAAAAGTCAGTGGGAACTTCAGATTCATCTTGACGATCATACCAACTCAGAGAGTCCCTCCCTTCGGTAAAATGAATAATTTAATTTTGTCGGATTCTTTGCTACAAGGGGAAAAGGCCAACCCAGTTGTCTAACAGCCAGATCACCCTCCTAAAATAAAGAAACCCCCGCTCTGTTTTGGATATTTTTAAGGGGGGGGAGAGTCAAGGCCCCTTTCTGTTCAAGTAAAACAAGGGAATATTCCCGGCGCGAACTGCAAATCATGCTGAGATTCCTGGCTACATGTCGGACATGTCATTCTATTTGGCAACCAAAGAACCATGGGAATTGTATACCCCTTCCTCCCACACATCCACTAGGGGTTGCAAGTTCAAATTTGGCTTGAACGGGTGGTTGTAACATCACCTGTTTGAATCTAGGGGTGATGCAACTCTGGTCAAGGAACCCCTTCTGAGAGTGTTGTTTCTTGGCACATTTTTATTGAACCCTGCGAAGGAACCCCCCTCGAGTCGCGAGAAGCTTTTACCGTGGATTCCTTATAAACAAAAAAATACTTCTATCTCACCATTTTTCCCATGGTTCCTTATAGCAGGTAATTGTCAGGATTTGCCTGTATAATGGAAATTATCATTGTTACCATGGATTTCTTATAGCCCCCCGCCTTCCTTCTTGCCAGCATGGGCGAAGCAGGCTGCACGCTGCAGCACATTCGCCGGGAAGGCCTGCGGGTCCTGCGAGGTTTCTGGCACCGAGTCAGATTGGTGAAACCCACGGCGCAACAAAAGCAAACACCGGAGCCCCTCAAAACGGTGGGCCCTTTTGGTTGGGGGAGAAGAAAGAAAGCAGTGCACAAGTTAGAGCTTTGTCAATTCAGGAAGGCCAAAGTCCTTGGTCCTGAGTTGGAGGTTCCAGTAACCCGAATGCGACCGTTGAAGTTCCTGGTCCAAGTCAGGCGTCTGTGAAAAAAATCGGCCAACTACCTTTCTGCGATGCCACCCTGGCAAACGCGGAAGCTTCCAGAAGGCCACTATAAATCGGGTATTTTTGGGGGGAGTCGATTTGAGGGAACCCTTTTAATTTCAGACAACTAGAAGAAACCCGCAGGACTAGGGTAAATGGAACTCTCCAACCCTAGACTGGTTCAGGCCCTCAATATTCCCTGACAAGTCCACAGTCCCTGCCCCAAGTGAAGGGGTGGGTTGACCATGGAAAGCAAGGGCCCAGGTAAATGAAATGGGCAACGCAGATTTTGGGCACTGCTCGATCAAGCACACAACGTTCACAGGAAAAGACGTTTCAAATGGCTCTCGTCGCCCGACTGACATGATCTGGCAGTTGGCTAAGAGACTAGTATCCCCTGGCTGAAACTCAAGAAATTAATTAACCCCCTGCTTGGCATTGGATGACCGCCCCACTTAGTGGCTAACATTCCCAGTTCAGTCGTGGGATATCCCCACATCGGGAACTTAATTGGACATATTAATCACAATTTTGGGGCGCTGATCCGAGTAGCGGCCCCTTGCAAACCGCAATTGGAGGTCCAGAAAAGGAAACTGCACCCCTGTTTTGCCCCAAGCGCGTTCAAATGATAGCGACAAAGCAACCGACATCAATTCGATAGCGGGGCTATGGAAGTTTGGCAAATCTGACTTTCCCACATGGTGCGAAAGCATTTGCCAAGCGGGTCTTTCGTCCAATTGCTATTGCCTTTCAACGGCACATTTCCACGGCTACTAGTACCTCAGCTGTTGCCACCAAATGAAAATCATATTTTGAACCTGGTCCCGAATTAGTGCACCTTAACATGCACAAGTCATGGTGATAAGTGATATGTGTACATTGCAATCCAATAGTTGTTCTATCGCAACGCTTTACCAAGAAAAACAATGCACAGCAAAAATAGAGATCCCAAACACTTTGAATTCCGCAGCTCTCCTCCAGCGCATCGGCCACATCTTGCCTGCGCATTAGGTTGCGCACACGACGCGCCAAAACGGCTCGGTGTGGCTGTCCTGTTGCCGAGGCTCATGTAACCAAAACAGTAATCCGTGGGATAGTTGGTTACAAGCCAGAACAATAAAACAACTTTGTTGCGTACACCCTCAAAATCCGGGGGGCTTTGTGCCACCCTTCAAAACGCAATGTTCTTTTTATTGGAGGTCCTAACCCCCTTCAATGGAGGGTCCAAAGATGCTGAGGGTGGTGTTCTCAAGTATGCCGCTTGAGAACTTTTCTTCAGCCCCAAGGGGGCAAAGCACTTTATATATCAAGGCTTTCTGTGGGGTCGCGCGCGTTTCCCGTTAAGCCAATTCACCCTCGAAAGAAAAGAACAAAAAACAGACACGAGGACACTCAAACCGAGGAGTTTGAAGGTGTTGCTTGATCACTGCAAACCCGGAGCAACGCCTTAAGCAAAAGGTTGGACCTTTTGCAATGTAAAAGGCATTTGTTTCCAAAAGGTCTGTCTGGCTCGCCCTGTCCTCCAGGCAAACCACCCTCCAAACCAGACAACCCAAACTCCGAGAGTCAGCATCCCCAACATTACCAGCATCATTCCGATGAATCTTAGGGCCGCCCAAATTATGTGCCAAACTTTTGCAAATGATGCTGATAATGCTAGGGATGTTGCCTCCAAGAAAACCCAGACCTCGGAAGAAACAATGCAATTCGGGGCGAGAACTCAGCCAAGAACCAGTACACATTACCAACAACCGTCGAATCAGTCAATTAGGGCAACCTCAAAGAAAAAACACAACCAGCTGCCCCTAAGAACTAGACCATGCCAAAAAACAGTTTATCCCCTTGTGGGGCTCCAAGACGTCAGGGCAGAAACTTGTTGGAAAAGAAAGGACGCTTTTGCCAATGTTCTAACCCGAAGCATCATTGAAGGGGGAAAGGGACCTGCATTGGAAGGTTTTGGACCTCAAAAAGCCCCTTTCGACCCAAGATGCTTGTCGAAGGGTGTTTCGTCCGAGGTTTGGAGCGAAGGACACTTAGTTGCATCCACAGGACACTATTTCGACACAAAAACAACAACCGGTGGATGCGGTGAACATATTGCAAATAGACCTGGGTCCCGTTGCAATGCTTTTCCGGACATCGACTGTCCAATAGGGTAATGTTAACTTCGGATCAATCCCGAGGACCGTGCTAATCAGCTTTTTCGCTTTTTGGGGTTCCCCCAACTAGCAGGGTTCTCCGTATCCGAAGCCATCATTACACATTGTTTTTTGGAGACGGAAACAAAAAAAACATTCCCCCGCTCGCCTGCGCAGTCTTTTCGCCCCAACGCCGGGGTCGCTGCGAGCCAGGCGCCGTGCGAGCTGCAGGACGCGGCGCAGGCGCAGCCTGGGGATGTGACCCAAAATTCGGGATGAGGTACCATTTAAGGGACTTTTGTGGGTCAGAAGGAGACTCTAACATCAGACAGCATCCAATGCTCGGGGGCGAATGAAACCCGAAAATATGCTCAACATTACACTGTTCAAAGCCTCTGCATTGCGCACACGCACGTAACCGTGCCCCCATCTAACCCAACCCCACCCGACATCTGCTCCGAAGTGTTCATGTGTGTGTGTGCGCGCGTGGGTGTACAACTACACGCGCGGTGTTCGATCCGCTAATGTGAATCAAACCCAGAAAGCAAAGCAAGATCAAGAGGTCGGCTCGATTTGGCTCTTGTCAAGCGGGATTTAAGGTGGCCCCCTTTGACCCTTTTGGTCCCAAGGCAAAACCAAAGGAAACAACTTCGCCAACACTATTCCCTGCCGAAAATTTGGCGTCGTCCCGCTTGCTTGGGCTTACAAGATACAATGGTATTCAGTGTCCCCCAACATCATCCCAAAGAGACGCAATTCGAGTTGGCCCAACAGTTGATGTCCAAACCATCCAACACAGAGGAACATGCCCCTTTTTCAACAATCATGGGAGTGGGCAAGCGGTCGTTTCAAGAAGATTGTGGTCTTACGGTAGACAAAAGATTCTTTGTGATATTACCACCCGAAAAGGGAACATAAGGGTGTGCGTCTTTTGAGGGCATCCGTTCTTGGGATGAGTTTAAAGGGACACCAAAAGGAAGCCGCCCCCCATTTTCGGGGTCTCCTCATTTTGACACACCAAGACTTCAAGATCCTTCACAAGTGCGCAAAAACTTGTTACAAGGGGCTCCAGATTCAGCGCGAGCTCTGATCGCACCTCCTCAGAGATGTCGCCTGAACGAAAAAAAATGTGCAGACTGGACAAGTTCCAATGGCAGGGGGTCCCTTCCATAGGAAGTACCCAAATGAGGAAGGGTCAGGAAACATGGCTAAACAAAGCTGAAAGACAAGGCATGTTTCCACCTGGAGTCTCCACGAACCTGTAAAAATGGGGTCATGACCCCCTTTTTTAATAGTCATGGAAAATCTAATGCCAAGAACCTGAAGATGAAAGCTTGACCTTTTGGGACCTTTACCAAAACTGGTCCAACAAGGGAAACCACAAGTTACAAGGTCGGTGTTGAACAACTGAGTCACATTGAGCAAATCAAAAGATTTCGTTTGGCCAACTAGCAGCCTAAACTGGTACCTCTTTGTAAACCAAACAAAAGCAAAGTTAGCCCAGGTCAGCCACTGGATGTGGGTCCCTTTGGATGCACATCCAGCTTACAGGCAAATCTAATCTGGTCATTGTCCCCGGCAGAAACAAACCGCATGTGGCTAGGCCTTTAAAGGTTTCATATTTTGAATGGAGCAGGTGTCCTTGCATTTTTTGGCTGCTAATCAACTTTCGAGCCAACTTTAGTTGTGTCTCAGCAGGATGTTTCTACTGTCAAGTTCGGAGTGATCTGGAGGATCATGCCAATGAGTGGTGGTTCCACTTTTAGTGGGTCATCAGTTCATTTAAGGAGGTTTGGCGCCAGCCCTCGTCCATAAATTCTTGCCAAAGAGGGCAAAAGCGGTAAAAGGGTACAAGTTGTGTCCCTGAAAAGGTTCACCACCCCAGTCTTCCTACCAATTTTCTGGTATGGCCCAATACCAATACCCATTTTTGGGCTTGGTATCCAGTACCAATTTTCTGGTCTGGTTGTTGTTTTGAGGGTCAGAGCAACCCTGAGCCTCCATGTTCCCCAAAAGTCCCCATTGATTCGGGTCAGAAGGAGGCTCCAGGAAAGAAGAACCAGGCCTATCTATTTTCCACCAAAACAACCAGAAAAGGACACCTATGCTCACAAGCCAACACGCCCAAATCTTCAACCGCTTGGGTCTCAAGTCTTTTGGATCCCCAAGATATCTTCGGCTTCGGTTTGCCAGCTTTCCCAACTCAAAGCCACAAACCGGGGGTCCCAACGCCCGCGATCTCGCTCCGTTTCTCCGGGCCTGATGCCCAGCTTGCTACCGCTTCCATGCGCCGGGCTTGGATGCTGCGAAGAGCTGGGTAGTAGGCACTTGCCGGTTTGCCGGTTTGGACGCCGCAATACAAGGTCGGTGTATATAGATATCTATATATATATATATATGCAGGTGTAGGAAGCAATATGATGTTTGAGCTTTTTTGCTACAAAGTGGATATGTCAAATGGGTTTTAAACAGAAGGTTAAACGGTCGGTTTTGAAGAACTGAGATGCCAAGGCAAATGGATCAAAAAGAACTTCTGACCCTTGAGATTTCTCGGGGTTGTTGTGGCCATCCAATCAGTTCAGGTTTGGCTTGGTGGTTTGGATATGCATTTGAATGGTTCTAGAGGGCAAATGGGAAACCGGGCAACACCTCCAAACCAATCCAACCCCCATTTGGAGGGAAGCTGGAATGCGGTTCCAAAGGGGATCCGGGGTAAACATTGTATGCCTGGTTTAGACGGAAACCAAAAGGAACCGACCCATGGTGAGAGTTGATCAGTTGTGTCTGGTTGGTATGCGGACTTTTGGGCTAGGCAGGTTGGGGCTGGGGCAAAGGTAGCCCGAGGGCTTGGATTGGTTGGGTCAGAAAAGAAGGCCAAAAGAGTGGAAGAACACAGTCCGGGCATTGAGACTTCAGTGCGAAATGCCCCCAGCCTCCGGCTAGGTGCGGCTGTTCTGTCTGGTGTTTGCTAACCAGCAATATTATATATATATATTTGCTCATTGGAGTCATAATCAAAACATGGCAATTGTGTTGATTGTGGCCCATTTGGGAACCGCTTTGGTACGGCCAATAGGAGATGCATTCGTTCGCTCTGAGGATCATGGCAGTACCGTCTCACTTTGGAGCCTGGTAGTTGTTGCGACCAAGGATGTGAAGAACACGACTCGAAATAGGGGAAGCGCAAACCGTTGCTAGCAAACACCTATGTTCTTTGCCCTAAACTGTGCAGAAAGGATCGACCCAAGCTACTAAAACTGAATACAAGACAAACTGCAAAAAACAAACACTAAAAACATGAGACATAGGACAGTCCCACCGCCAACCTTTCGAGGACCCGACAGAAACAACTTTTTGTCGTCTAACATGTTGCTTTGGGTTGGGGAATCCACGCACTTTGCGTGAGGCATTTGTACTGCACGCATATTTTGGGACTCAACAGCTTTTGTAAGCTTGCGACCTTCGCTTTTGACAGTGAATCCAAAGAACCACTTCTGAGGGCCCAAACCTAGTTGCAGTTTGTAATGCATCAAAAACAACTTGTTGGGCTCCGAACAGCTAATTTTGGGGAAGGGATTAAGCCTGCGGCTTTGCAAACGCTTTGCTTTCCCTTCGCTTTGCCGGTGAATTAGTGAGGACTGCACCACCTCTAAGCAGCAAAAAACGGTTTTTCTGGGCAGCCCCCAAAGGCAGATGTTAAACTCAAAGGCCCAACTCTGCTCACGGTCCCATTGAATTGTCCAAAACAAGTAGTGAGCTCGGCTGATCTCGATAGAATATGTGACAGCGCCGGACCAAAACTTCTGGTGGGGCTGCCTTTTGTCCTTCATCCACCTGGCTCTTGTCAAGCTTGCCCCCTTTGGTCGATTTCCTTTCGGCTTCCCTTCCAAAGCCAACAGACAAGGCACATATTATTTGGAATGTTCCATACTCTGGAAAGGCAAAAACCACAAAAGGCCCTTGAAATGAGGTCCAAACAACTTCCGATGCAGATCCCTTGCCCCCTTCAATGGGTCCAATGATGCTTAGAGTAATACGCGGGGAGACTCTTTACTGGCGCCCTCTTTTTAAAACCTGCCGACTGACGGTATGGGGTTCCAAGTGGAGCCGACGGATCGTCTGGCGAGTGGACATCCACTCGGCGTCATGAAAACAAAAACATGTTCTTTTTCCCCACAGCACTCCAAAAATCAGATCTTCTGATTCTATTTCATGGTTCCCCCGAATATTTACTATAGTTTTGGGACCGCAGGAATGAGGTTGGCTCCGCAGATCCCAGACTTCTCCCGCCATTCCTGCCGTACTGAAACAAGTGGTACCTGTTGTTTTTGATAGCGGGGAACTTACGTTTGGGTGAAAGTAGATGTAGACACTGTCCGCATGTTACTTTTGTCAAACCGTTTACCCGCGTCAAGGGAACTGCGCCATCTACGTTCATCCTGGCCTAGGTTGATTGCCACTTCCGTGATACTTTCAGGATCATTGCTCAGCCCTTATGTGTTGCCGTCTGTGATTGGGAAGGCCCATGATGTCAACCACTTGTATCACAGAAGTGGTTGCCGGCAATTCCCGCAACCCTTGTGTTCAAAGACCGTTGGTTCAAGCCCACGCTAGAATACAATCAGCAGGTTCCCAGGGGCTACCAGTCCTTTGCAAGGTATCATAGAAATGGTCAGCATCCACTATCATGGTACTATAAGGGCCAAAATAGTTTGAATGGGGGTGTGGAGTAAGACTAAGATTATGCCAAATAACCTAACCACGGGAGTGCAATCGTGTGGCCCTTTATTATATACGTATCTTTCCACTGACCTGGCATGGGTTCGGAAGATTCGGGTCTGATCCAAGGGTTCTGAGAACCATGGGATGTAACGTTTCTCCTGAACAGTGGTTGTGTTGCACTCGGTGTGATTAACTCATCCTCAGGGTCACTCCCTTCTGCCAAACTTGGAAACAACTACCACTACGGTTTGTCCAACTGTTTTCCCTTGACTTGTTTTGCATGTGATTGAAAGGGGAGTTGGGCCACTTTCGGGGTAGCTCCGGATCGAGTCACGCGCAAGGTGCATTCATCCGTAGACTTTCGTCGGAGACCGCTCACTTGCTCATTAGCCCAGGGTCCCAGTTGCCACTGTAGGAAGTAGCCAGCCATTTCACTTCCCCAAAAAGCCTGGAAACAAAAGGCGATCGCGTTTGCTAAAATTGGTTGCCAAAAAAGAAAGCCAAAAGGTTGAGTCTGCTTTGAACAGCTGAGAACTTCAAGTGGGGAACCTCTTGGGCACCTTTCCAGGGAAATGGAATTCAGACCAAAAGCCCCCCTCCCAACGGGAAAGCTTGAGGATGATCGAACGGGCGGGTCCGAAATTATGACAGCCTTTGCCGGGGAGTCTCTCCATTATGCAAAGATGATCTCGGTTTTTTGGCCCAAGTGTGGGGTACAACACATATACCCGATTCTGGCCCGTACCCAAGAATTCAAGGATAAAGATCCAACCCAAACCAACAAGGTCATATAAGGGGCCGAATGACTGCACGGTGTTGCCCTATGATCATGACGTAACTCGGTTTAATATTACGCAACGACCCCTTTGCAATTGTTTAGGCCCTCATAGGCTATCTCAGTTGTCCAAAGGACCAAGAAAAACCAGCTAACCGTAGCACATGGACCAAAAAGGGGAAATTAGGAGGTCAGATGCAGTCAGTGGATTCGCTTGGGGCAGCCTTCGCCCCGTTTTAACCCAGGCTCGAAAATTCCCTCTGGCCATTAGATTCGGAGTGATTCTGAAGGAGACCTTCATTCAGGAGACCTCCGGGGGACCAATTCCTTGAGGTGTCCTTACCCCGCCCAACGGCGCGTGATCGGTCTGCCGGACTGCCACGTGCTCAGGCGAGGCGGATGCCTTCCCTGCCATGGAACTTGAGGAGACCTCCCTGGAAATCACGAAGCAATGACAGCGGAACACACCCTGTAGATGACAACAATGCAAAACGCAGAGATAAAACCCTTAAAAAAAAATGGTTGGTGAACCACCAATCCCAACTGGTTCGAAGTGGATTTTGACCATCCACAGTGCACAGTATCTTCGTGCTCGTTGGGGGTGAAGGTTCCAACACGGGCGGGAGGGCAAAAGAGATGAACGCCATCTCCGGAATTTCCTCCAAACACTTCGGCACGTCGGTCGCCGGCCAATCTAAGTCCCAATCAAAATCACCAAATGTGTTTAAGGTTCGGCAGAAAAAGCACTTCTTTTGTTGTTATTTGGGTGTGTATCCAAATACGTATATATATATATATATGGGCACTCCAAACTGGTTTGTTTCCTTTTGGTTCCTTTTGACACCAAACAAAAATGGCTCCAAAAATAAACGACCCGCCGATTTTGTACACAGCTTCCAACAATGGAAACAAGGGCACTGGAGGTCCAAGGCGGAACCCCCTCGCAAATGGGTGGGCATAAACAAGTTCTTTTTCCATGGCGTCCGGATGAGAGGACTCCAAGGGCACGTCCGGTGGGCAGCATGTGTTGTTCTCTTGTTGTTTGTCGCTTTCCACCTATGTGGGCGGGTTACCGCTCAAAAAAAAAGGAAGCAAGTCTCTACTTCTCCAAAGCCAATCGGCCTTTTGATAACTGTTTTGCTTTTCCCCTTAGCATTTGTGTCCAGGCCCTTCAAGAAACCGAGCCTTTTGGATGGGGAAGGGAACCCTCCCCAATTGACCAAGGCTTTGGCTTACTTGCAACATTTAGGGACTCCGTACCTCTCTGAGGATTTGGAAATAGTTGCAAACACCGAGACAACTATGTCCTGCCCAAATTCTGTCACTAGGGGTGGTCTTTCGGCAAATAATGCTTTGTGGGCTTGGACACAGTTGGACGCGGCAAGTTGGGGGGGGGCGGCTGCGATTGTCTAAACCCCAGAATCTGAAGCGACTTCCTGAAATCCTGAATGAATTGGTCGCCACCCAAGTATTGCAACCGAATGGGGGGTGGTTGTTTCTTACCCTAATTTGGGTTTTATGAAGGCACCTTGTGGGCAAAACTGAAACCCGAAAATGGCCTTGCCCGGCGCGGTTCTGAAAGCGACATGTTCACCCGCCGGTGCCAAATGCTCACGGATCATATCCTCGCGCAGCTGGCAGGAGAAGCCCTGAGAGTTCTCATGGGGTTCAAATACGTACCTGGAGTCCCCTCCTGACCAGAATCGACAATGGGGCTACCCAAAAGAAAGGGGCGACCCCATTTTCTGAGGATCATGGGGACTCCAGGTAGACATGTTGTTGTGATTACTTAACTGGCTGGTGCATGGAAACCTGTTTGCGATTCGTTGTCCCTGCTCTTTTGCGATCCGTCCCCAAAACCCGGTGTTTGTAGGCAAAGTACCACATTTTAATTGTTCGGCTCTTCTGGGGGGAAATCGTTCCCATTTCAAAACTGCTAAGTGGAACCCGTGGTCGTGAATTGGACCCATAAACTTGATTTGTTTGCTTTTTTCGAGGTCACCTTTTTGTGCGGTGGTGTTAAACTGTCACTTTGGGGGTCCCCCATCTTAAGACATAACCACCCCGCTCCACCATCCCCGGCCTCGTTTTGCTCAGTTTTCACCAGCCAAAAACAGCTAACGCCTAGTCACGGCATCAGAGTAGGTCAGAGTGCGCTGGGAATGAAGGCATTCTGAACCGAAGAGATCTAAGAGGAATCCACCCCCCAAAGGAGGAACCGACGGGATGTATACCCTCAATATCCCTCAATATTAATATATAGTGGCCAATTAGCCCCATTTTCCCTTAAAGGTTGTTCGGGAATGAAGTTGGGCATCTACCAGAAAATCTACTACCTGAATGTCCAAGGTACCGACTTCGCCTGTATGAGCCACAGTCGAACATGTGGCTCCAGTATAGGCACCAAAGTGTGCGAAACCCTTGGTTTTGTGCCCTAAGCATCATTGCACCCTGCGCTGAAGGGGTTGCGGCCTGTATTGGAAGGTGTTGGACCTCAAAGGCAGGGCCCAAGATGCTTAAGGTGATTGAATTTGAGATCTCGTCCCTCCCAAACGCAAACCCCAGCCAGGTTCACACCTGTTCTGAACGTGTTAAAACCGCGGTCGCTCCTTGTCCTTCCCTCGCGGCCTGGGAAGGCCCGTTGGGTATGTGCCGTTTTGCCAACAAGGGCTGCTTTCAAAGGTACCCCTTGATTGCGGTTTCAAGTTTTAGGGGGCCGCCCAAGAAAAGACACGCCCAAATAAGCCACCCCCAAAGTATCCCCCATCGCCGGTTGCTTTTCCCGGGATGTCTCAGTGAAGTGAACGATTCAAGGTGACTCTTTGCAGCCGCTCTCATCGAATAACAGGCCTTTCTCCCGCGTTTTGTCTTTGCAATTATCTGGAAAGACGGATGTTTAGAAAGAGTGGCAGCTCTAGTGACACGACTTGTCCAAGGCCCCCCCCCAGCCATGGGAAAACAAGACACCTTCTCTTGGCACCCTCAGCATCAAAAGGGACCCTCCATCGAAGGGGTTAGGACCTTCACTGGAAGGTTTTGGTCTTGGACCTCAAAAACCAACAAGGAAGAACCACAGAAATTGGGAAACCGGGACCAACGACCAACTTCGGGGAAGCTAAACTCAGTTGCCCAAAGGAGCCAAACATAAGCACATGGCACATCATGGCACCTGTTGGCGCCATGACTGAAAATGGGAACCCGAAAAGGGGAATCGCAAGCAAGGTCGAAGGTCGGCCTTGAGCTCCCTGTCCATTTCCCATTTCCATGTCCCGCCTCCATTCTCTCCCCACCCACCCATACACACACACACACCCTCCCTCCAAACCCCTGCCTGCCCTTCAAAAACAACAACAAACAAAGCCTGGGCATGCCAGGCGCAGGAGAAACCAACGTGTCGGGTTTCCTGAGGGAACCCTTGTTTGGTTTAACCTGCAACCAGAGAAAACACCAAAGCCGAAGCCCCCTTCCCTTGCCTCAGCTGGATGCCGAAGGCGCTGGCACCTGGTGAGCTTCTCATTCATCCTCAACGACTCAACAAGACCCAGGGGTTCAAATCCCCAGTTCCCACCAAACCACACCACCAATTCAGGAGTCTCTTTCTGCCATGACTCCTTTCTTTTAGGTAGCAACCCCAGGTTTTCTTGGGTCCGATGAGACAAAGGACCCCTGCAATATGCCCACGACCGATCGGAGGAAGACGTGTGGCGTGACGCCTTGTAGACCTTGAAGAAGTTCTTTTCCGCGGAGGCGAGCAGCGTCTGGTCCTTGGAGATGGATACACTCCTCAGGCGGCATCCCAAACCCAGCATGGCTTCCCAAAACGCGCAAATCGCACGGAGAAAACGTTGATGTGTCAAACCAGCGAAAAGGAACTTGTAGGGAAGCCTGAGATTTGAGAGTAATATAAAGGCCGTTCAATAATTGGAATGGCGCAAACGATTAGTGTGACTACCCAGCCACTTACATTAAACCAAATCGACATGCCAGCAGCAGTTGTTTGATGAACAGTTAAAGTGGGCGACCACTTGTTTGCAACATTGGTTGGACAAAAACTGACCATGGCTACCAATACAGGGAGCCCCCCAAAAAGGTCGTTGAATCAATTGTGGAGTCAAAGGTGACATACTGAACTAGAACCACGGGTGGCCCGAAAGCATACCATACCTGAAAACTCCTTCCGGCCAAATGGCATAAATGAGTCTTGAACCAAGCGGAAAGTTGTGCCATGATCTAGAGATGCACTGCTGCCCTGTGAACTATTTGGGCAAGCGTCTCAACAGAGGAAGCCCCAGATTTGGGTGGGCTTTCCTTTGGTTTCCGCTTGAACTACAAAGGTACCCTCAAAGCAGCATGGGTTGGGATTGGTTACAACCCAAAAAAATCAAAGGCACTTGCAAAGGGAAGGGGAAGTGCTCTTTGATTATGAGTTGCCACCCGTTAAAAGGCAAGACCATCCCGAACCCCAAACAGCACACCCCACGAAGCCTCTCACAAGGGGTTGGGGGACATCGACATGAGAAGTGCCCAAAACCCATTGACTCTTGGTTCTACTAAAGGGCGATATTGGCTTTGCTGAACCACAAGTCCTCAAAAGTGGTTGGAGGCAAATCCCCATGTAAATGATGTCCAACAAAGGGTCTCCAACTAAAAATCACATCCGTTTGAGTTTGTTCTGCCGCGAAACCTCAGGTGCGGAAAAGTGCTAAGGCTGTTACGAAATCCGGAACACATGTCAAAGGCCCCCCCCAAAAAAAAGAAGAAGAAGTAAATAACTAACTAAATAAATACATGAATAAATGAGACAAACAAATAATGGTTTGATGTCCTTTTGGCTTGCCTTTGAAACCAGCCAAAGGGGTGTTCCTTAACACCCCGAGAACATTGCCCATGGATTAAATGATCGGCCATATCTTCGGCCATAAGATCAAGTCTGGGGTCCTTCCCTCACTTTGCTCCCCTGATCACGTGGACCCCCCAAACAAACAAAGCTTTCTGTGCTAAACTTTTCCGAGAGGGCCATGTCCATTTGTGGAGTGCCACCCGAGGGCAGGAAGAAGTTTTCCTGCCCAGACCCAAATCGTGACTCGATTCCAACTTGAGTGAGTGGCAAAAGAACTGACTCCAACTTCCCAAGACGAGCACGCATTTCGAAGCCTGTGGGATCGGGGCCTGGTTGAACGGGCGCGATCGAAGCGCGACGCGTCCGATTTGCCTCCCGTGACAAAGTCAGGGTGCAGGGTGCGCTGCTTGACTTTTAGCTAGACCGTCTCTTTTCAGGGCTGCCCCAAAATCGCTTTGAATTCGCAACCAAGGGCGAAGTTCAGCATCCTTTGCGGGGAATAACGGGCTCCCTTCATACCGCCAGATAGGAAGCCCTACTACATGTGGAGATCTAAGCACCACCATGCTTTGAAAAACAAAACGAACACCTGACAGGTGTTTCGTTGCACATGTCAAACAATGAACTCTCCTATGGCTCTCCCGCTCAGCTCTCCTCACTCCAACGTTGTCATAGGCGCAGCTCGTTTCACCTCAGGCTCAAGGAGAATGGAGCGGGCGAGTTGACGGGCTGATGCCAACTGCCTTCCTAAGTGGGGCTGCCCCAAACAAGTCCAAACTCTCATTTGTGTGTGTGTGTGTTGAGATGCGCAAATGCGACAAATGCTGGCGTTCCTTGTGGTGTCCCTTTACAGCAGCCCAGAAAGGGCGTCCTCAGAAAACAGAGTTCCTTGTAAGATTAAATTAGATTGGATTAGATTAGATTTAGAATGGAATGGTCTTAGATAAATAGAGGGATAGATAGATAGAAAGATATTCAAAATAGTTAGATAGGAAGGACGGAAGGAAGGCAGGAAGGAAGGAAGGGCGAAAGGCGGGCGGGCGGGCGGGTAGATAGATAGATTGATAGATAAATAGATAGGCAGATAGATAGATAGATAGATAGATAGTTAGATAGATTAGATAGATAGATAGATGGATAGGATAGGATAGGATAGGATAGGATAGGATAGGATAGGATAGGATAGGATAGGATAGGATAGGATAGGATAGGATAGGATAGGATAGGATAGGATAGATAGATAGATAGAATAGATTAGCTAGATAGATAGATAGATAGAAAAGATTAGAATAGATTAGTTTAAATTAGATTAGATTAGATAGATAGGATAGATAAGATAAGATAGATAAGATAGATACGATAGATAAGATAGATAAGATAGATAAGATAAACAGCATAAAAAGCATACGATAGATCAGATAGATAAGATAGAAAGCATAAGATAGATAAGATAGATAAGATAGATACGATAGATAAGATAGATAAGATAGATAAGATAGATAAGATAGATAAGATAATATAGATCAGACAGATAAGATAGATACGACAGATAAGATAGATAAGAAAGACACGATAAGATAGATCAGATAGATAAGATAGATAGATATATAGATAGATAGATAGATAGGAAGAGAAGTATAGATAGATAGATAGATAGATAGATAGATAGATAGATAGATAGATAGATAGATAGGTACGATAGATAGATAGATAGATAGATAGATAGATAGATAGATAGATAGATAGACAGACAGACAGATCGATGGATAGATAGATAGATAGGTAGGTAGGTAGGTAGATAGATAGATTACATGGATGGATAGATAGATAGATACATAGATTAGATTTGACTTAATTAGGTTAGATTAGATTAGATAAGACAGATAAGATAGATCATATAGATAAGATAGATAAGATAGATCATATAGATAAGATAGATAAGATAGATAAGATAGATAGACAGATAGACAGATAGATAGATATATAGATTGAACTTTTGACATACAGACAGACAGACAAACAGATAGATGGATAGATAGATAGGCAGGTAGATAGATCGATAGATAGACATATTAGCTGGAATAGATGGATGGACAGATAGATAGATATATTAGATTTAATTTAATTAGATTAGACTAGATTAGATTAGATAGATAAGATAGATAAGATAGATAAGATAGATAAGATAGATAAGATAGAAAGCATAACATAAATAAGATAGATAAGATAGATACGATAGATAAGATAGATAAGATAGATACGACAGATAAGATAGATAAGATAGACAAGGTAAGACAGATCAGATAGATAAGATAGATAGATAGATAAATAGATACGTACGATAGAGAGATAGATAGATAGATAGATATATAGATAGATAGATAGATAGATAGATAGATAGATAGATAGATAGATAGATAGATAGATAGATAGATCGATACATAGATACATAGATAGGATAGATAGATAGATAGATAGATAGATAGATAGATAGATAGATAGATAGATAGATAGATAGATAGATAGATAGATAGATAGATAGATAGATAGATAGATAGATAGATAGATAGATAGATAGATAGATAGATAGATAGATAGATAGATCGATATATCGATAGATAGATAGATAGATATATAGATAGATAGATAGATAAATAAGATAAGATAAGATAAGATAAGATAAGATAAGATAGATAGATAGGTAGGTAGGTAGGTAGGTAGGTAGTTACATAGATAGATAGATAGATTAGACAGATATATATATATATAGATAGATTAGATAGATACATAGATAGATAGATGGATAGATAGATAGATAGATAGATAAATTTGATATATTAGATAGATGGATTAGACAGATATAGATAGATAGATTAGATAGATAGATTAGATAGCTTAGATAGATAGATAGATATATAGATAGGTTAAATTAGATTAGATTAGAATATATTCGATTAGACTAGACTAGATTAGATTAGATAGATTAGATAGATAGATAGATGGATGGATGGATAGATAGATAGATAGATAGATAGATGGATGGATGGATAGATAGATAGATAGATAGATAGATAGAAGATAGATAGATAGATAGATAGATAGATAGATAGATAGATAGATAGATAGATAGATAGATGGAGAGTGGGGGGGGGAAGTGATATTCAGCGGATAGACCAAGATTGAAATACTACCAAGATCGAAAAGCAAGACAGAAAGGAAAAGAGAAATGAAGAAAGAAAGAAAGAAAGAAAGAAAAGAAAGAGAGAAAGAAAGAAAGAAAGCAAGAAAGAAAGAAAGAAAGAAAGAAAGAAAGAAAGAAGGAAAAGAAAAGAAAAGAAAGAAAGGAATCAAGACATAAAACAACAAATGAAGGGAGGGTCGGGAGGGAGGGAGAGGGGGAAGGGGGAAAGAAGGAAAAAACAAAAAAGAGCGGAAGACAGAACGAAATAAATAAACAAATAAATAAATATGACACACAGTAAGAAGAGAAACAACATGAAAACCACAAAAAGGAAAATCAATATATTGTATAAAGTTCGAGGCCGTGAGCCCCCCCCCCCCCAACCCCGGGTGGGGTGGTTGGGTGGTTGGGGTGTGGTTTGGTTGGTTTACGCTGGGTTTGGGGTTCGGGTTGTTTTAGGGTTGAGGTTGGGGATAGGGTAGGGGTTGCAGGGTGGTTTGGTTTAGGGTAGGATTATTTTGATGAGAGATGTCCAGATCCGGCCCTGCCCCGGTCACGATTGGTTTCCTGGGCCCAGACAGGTCCTCCTATTTGCCAATCGCTTGCAGGTTGAAACTGTACGGATGGACGCACCCCAAAAGTAGCAGTCTACTTGGCATTCCCAAGTAGACTTCCTGGGGCCCGAAGTCGCTCATTTCACCACGCACTTCTTGACTCGGGGCTTTGAAGCCTTTGGGGTTGGGGCCCGACCTTACTGGCTGAAACCACAATCCATGTATGGTTGTGAAATGCAATCGGAGAACGTTTGGTTCACACGTGTTGAGTTTTTAGTTGAGGAAATACACAATCAACAAGTAAAGGACCCTCACGGAGTAAACTGCTGCGTTTGTTGACCTTAAGGCTCATGATCTCTTGGAGCTCTGTAGGGTTGAAAAAGGGGCGAAGATGAGATGGGCGTTCAAATGGATGTGTCCCAAAACAGGGGACCTCAGAAATCGGTGGGTGTCCTTTCGGTTTCTCTTTAAACCCACCCAACAAAAGCCAAAAAGACGAACCCAAATCACGCAGCCGAGCGGCTATTGCTCAGGTTGAAGACCAATTGTAGACCCTCCGCGCAGCTACCTGGCGACAAGCTCGGTGCAAAACGTGCTACGCCAATCCATGGCCGTGTAAAAAGGGATCCCAAAGGAGATTGTTTAAATGGGCATGGCGAAACCAGCCTGCAGGTTTTAGTTCTTGCCAGTTACCAGGGCAACACATTTGGGCTTCCATACTTTTTGGCCAGCCAAAAAAATATAAAAAGGTGCGCGCCAGGGGTTGCTGGCAGGTTGAGAAGTATTATGTTCGGTTGGCTTCAAGAAAGCCGCTCGTTTGGGTCATAACCCATCTTGAGGCGAAACCGCACATGGAGAACTGGCATATCTTGAATTGGGCAGCCGCGGAACCACCTTGCTTACCCAAAAGACTCGACAATCAAAGCGTCCGTGTGCCGAGATATGGGCGTGTGTCTCGTTTTACGAGACCCTCCCAAATGGTGGCGTTCCTTTTGTTACTGTTTGCCCTTTAAAAACACAAAGAAAGCTATATACTATTGTGCGTTCATTCTTGAAACAACTTCCCAAGAGCTGGCATGTGAGCGATAACTCTCTTCTGTTTGCGACCTCCCTCACAGCCATCAAGCAAGCTAGGAACTGTGAAATGTGGGTTGAAGCATAGACTGGACATATTGCCCAAACCCAGTATCACCAGATTGGGTTTCTCGCTTGCCCAGGGAGCCTGGAAAAAAGGTTCGAAAAGGGCTATAACCAGGGTCAGCGGCCTAGTAGCGCCTGTTCAAGCATGACAGGGTCAACAAGTGCCCGTCAACCACTCACAAAAAAATGCCACTCATCCTTCCCAATGACCCAGGCCCACGAGCGCATCAACTCTTCTCACAACCCCTACGAGACCCCAAATAAAGCAGGGGGCTTTCATGGCAAACAACCAGCGCCTCTCTGCTCCTCTCTGCTTCCGTGCCCTTCCAAAAGAATACCATGCTTTGCAAAATACAGGCCATATATATATATATAAATATAAAAGGATTCCAGCCGGGGGGGCGGGAGGGAGATATTAGTCATATCAATAATTGGCCTGGCTGGGTGCTGCTAACCCAACAACGGTGGACATAAAGCAGATGATCAAAGTGCAGCAAACCCAACTAGTCACTTTCTAAGATGCCCCAACTGGCTCTTCTTCTTTTTTTGAGGGGGAGGGGGAGGGGTGAAATTTCAAATAGTCTCAGCCAACGGATTTGCTACCTTGGACGAAGGCAAACCAACAGGAAGTGAGCCTGCCGGAAATCGAAAGCAGGGTTCCGTGTTTCGAGTTCCCGAGATATGCATGGGTTCCCTTTTCGGGGCATCAACAATTTCAAGGTCAAAAACCGGGTCTCCCTCAACGAACCTGGGATCATTTGACGGCCAACTTGCCAGGCGCGCATAGGATCGATGCTGAGCTCCTGGCAACCGTACAGACTCAACCTGTTGGACAGCTCCCTGTCTCCTTCATGGGGGCCATGACCCCATTCTTTTGGGTGACCCCATCTTTAAGTTCACTCGGCGACTCCAGGTCCCTGAGCCAAATTTCCATTCCAAACCTCATGTGATTGCTAGTTGCTGCATAAAATAATTGGTGGGAATCGGATCGCGGTTTGGCTCGCTGGCGCAACCTGGTGCTTTGTAAACCTGCCAGTTCCTAATGCTTCACTGTTTGTTTGCTTCTGGTGTGTCTTTAAACATACGAACTGTGGTTCACCACAACAGGGCCAGTTGACGTGCCTTGCCCGAGTTGCCCAAAGGAAACAGAACAAAGAAACGTGAATATGTGTCAAAATAATCCCACCATGGCCTCTGTTTTCTTGTAAAGTTCCCCTTAAACCAGCCTGAATACTCCCCTAGACTAAAATGGAACCCACACAGCCACCATTAATGAAGAGAAAACTCCCTGCAGAGGACCCTTCCTGTTGGGTTCCATGCTAATACACACACATTCCTACATTGACATGGTGCGAAAACGGAGCTAAGCCAAGAAGGGGCGTCGAATCCAGTCACAAGGGTGTCACTTTCATTGGCCCAGTTTCCTCGGATCGACTCGGATCCTCTACGGATGTGCGCGTTTGTACGCGTTTGTAAGGTGTCTTGGGTCTGTGGGCGCAATTATCACTTGCCCCTGGAGTAAAATCTGAAAGGTGTATATGGGTACGTACATATCTATATATATATAATTTCCTTATATTGTGAGGCATGGTCAAAGTTACTGACTTGCGGCCGTTTTGCTACTTAATTAGTTGGAGAGCCCCGTATCGTGTTCCAGCGTTTTGTGTTTTCTGACGCCTCTCACTCTACAAGTACTGCGGAAATAGAAGAAGAGGAGCAGAAAGAGAGGCAGGGAGGAGGGGAAGAAGGAAGGAGCAAGGGAAGGGAAGAAAGGAAGAAGAAAAGAAGGCAGGAAAGGAAGTAACTAGAAAGGAGAAATGGAAAGGAGCAGGAGGAGGAGGGGAGCGGGGGAGTGGAGGAGGAAGAGGGGAGGAGGCCACGAGGCCACGTCAGAGTGGGAATAGTCAAATGCGGTGACTGTGTGTTTTTCTTTTTTTTCAAAGGCTTAGTAAAGCATTTGCATTATCAGAGCTGGGGATGCTTCTGGGATTTCAGGTGTAGGTGATTTATTGGGGACTTCAGGAACTGATTTTGTATCATAGGGAACTGCAGCGATCAAGGGCCAGTGTTTGATATGCTTTGCAAGTGCAAGCAGAATTTGGTACGGTCCAAACCTGGCTTTGGTGTGATTGTTTGGGTTCTTTTTGTTAACTGTGTGTTTTTGTTGTGTGTGTGTGTGTGTGCTTCTTTTTTAATTAACTGATGTTGGCTAGAGTGCGAAAAATGCTATTCTGGTCCACATGTCTAATCAAGTGCCAACATGGTTGGTGGAGGTGAACCCCAACCTCAAAGATATCCAAAGGGGCAACGGGTCCTCTTTAAATTTCACCCCCGTTTAGCGTTACAGTTACACCGTACCCTTGTGTTCCTGTGTGTGTGAAGAAAAGAATGCTCGGGCTCCCATTTTCTTTCAAAGAACTGCAGAACCTTCCGGCTTGTGAACAGGAGAAAACACTACTTGCTCTTGAGGATTCCCTTAGCCAGAAAGGTTTTCAATTTCCCAACCCAAGCCCAAGCCTCGCCCCAAGCCTCGGCCCCAGGTGCCCATCCCCCCGGTCTTGTAGCAGAAGCTCAAGAAGGAGCACGCGGAAGGAATCGGAACCCTGTAGACCTAGCAGCGGGCGGCTTGTCCAAAACAATGGATCCGTTACAATTAAGACACCTCAAAATTACCCGAGCTAAGATCGGCTAAAAGGTAGTGCAAAGGGAAATCACCTCCAAACAAAATGTTCCGGGCTGGCTCCTCGATTTATTCACGCTGAACTAAGCATTAACAAGCGTGTGTTCATGCCAGGGGTTCACAAAGAGACGTCATTCACCTAACACCTCAGGGTTGTCACGAACCTTCCAAAGACTTCAAGCCCACCCAAAGGGTTCGGGCTTCACTGTTCTTGGTGTCAACAAGTCTTGTACAGCTCAAGCCATGCTAAGGGTTTTTTTGGAGGGATGGGTTGCAGGTTTCTGGCTGGATACCAACCGGCAAGGCCTCGACGTCGATTCTAGCGAGAGTGAATTTTCCCGTTACGAACTGAAACACAAGGTTTGATTCTACCAACATGCATATGTGATAAACCAGGGAGCCCGAACAATGGCAATTGTCCTTTTGGATCACCCCAAAAAGGCTACCTAACAAAAACACCCATCCACATGGTTAGAAGCAACATGGGCCTTACCTCAATGACCTGTAATGTTGACCCGGGATCAAGAAACCTCTGGTTGATGAATGGGGTATCCCAAGAGGCAATGTGAACTTTGGGCCTCAATCATCCACAAGGTTGATGAATTCTGGGTCGACAGCATTACTCCTCTGCTTCATGATTGATCCATTTTGTGTCCGGCTTAAGTTCAACTCACTCCAGTATGCTATAGCCATACTGTAATTACTCGGGATATCCAGTTCCCTTGGAGCCATGGTTCCTAATTCAGTACAAAGTAGTATGAACATCCAAGTAGAGTAATGTACGATTCTAAGCTCCTACCCCAAATGAATCTTGAATATACAGGTTTCTTGCGGCGACAGACCCAAAATTTGGGCATGCCCCAAGAAAATGGCCTTGCCTTCATTCAACAAACACCTCCTCACCCTGCAATGCAACGTTCATTTGTCTGAGAAACGGTTGAACACGTGCAATTGTCAGGGTTCAGGAAAGCACCCTTGCAGCACCTAAACTACACAGACTTCTTCTTGGGATCTCCTTTCATCTCAAACACGAGGAAAACAAGTGATGTGGGCACCTGCCTTTCCCCCGTGTCCTTTGCTTTGCTCAAAATGCAAGGATCCCTTCCCACGTTGATATCAAATCCGAAGCATCGAACGGGCCCTCAAAAAGGCCCTTGCAATGAGGCCCACAACCTTCCAAATGGAGGCCCTAACCCCTTCAATGGAGGTTCCAATGAAGCTCAGGGAAGGTCCAAGCAAAGTTGAACAAAGAAAATGCCAACCACAGGTCTGGCTCACCCGGAGGGTAGCATTTCAAAGTTGAAAGCGCCCTCACAATCGCCAAGAACTTAACCCTGGTCAAGGTTTGTCTGCGTTGTTGGGTCAAAAGGGAAACACCCCCAGTTGCTGACTGATCAAAATACTGGTCCCGGAACATCCCAGAACAAGTCCCGGGGAAAAAGCAAACAACAAGGTGGACATGGGTTCGTAGGGCCGCCCCACGCCCCGGGCCACTCCGGGAAGCCCCGACCGTCTGCAGCGACCCGTCACAGCCGGCCCGCGTCACCTCGATGACCGGTTGGGACCTCGGACCGTGGAGTCTCGTTAAGGCCGCGGTGGCACTTCCCACAGAGTGTTTCTGCCGCTACTCACGACGGGTGTTCCCATTCTGGGCGAAAAATGTATCTGAACCATTTATGCCAGGATTGGGTAGGACATCTTCAAGGCCTTCTTGTTCAAGGAATCCTGTGGACAAAATACTGTGCCAGTGAGTAAGACAATTGTCCAATATGCCTAGGTTGTCTGCTGTTCAACTGGTGCAGGATTTCCATTCAAAAGTATGAAAAGCCCAGTAGAAGTATAAGGGCCAAGTCACAATGAGGTTGAGGGATACAACACTGCAAACCCCGCCAACAGGACCACAACACGGCCACCCGGACCCCAGCACCGGAACGCCAGAACATTTTGGGGCAACACCAGGAATAATGTCCAAATCGCCAAGTCTCTCAGAAGAGGACCTGCACCAAACTAAGTATGTTCGAAACCGGGTCCCAATGGAATTCCTTGGGAGACAATGGGCGCTCCTTTTCTTGGGTAGTTGAGTTTAAAGGGGCCACCCCCAAAACCGCATCCATGCAACATCCTCACAACTAATGTTGACCCCGGCTTAATAAACGGTTTATTAATAGGGGGTGCTCACCTCCAACAGTGATGACTCTCCACTAAAACAGGGGCACCCCCTATTAATCAACCAGGGGTTTACTAATCCGGGGTGCCCATTACCCGCGCTAAATGGCGGGTTAAAGGGAAACCCGAAATCAGGAAACTATGGGTATTATTTCTGGATAGCCAGACTACCAGCCACAAAAGTAATTGTGAGAACCCCCGAATGCATCCACCCTGCGAACCTCTCACCTCCCCCCCCCAAATCCGCTTCGGACATTCGGGGAGAACCGACATTTGCACTCCAAGGGCCAAGCTGCACTCCCGGTAGATCCTGCGATCAGATCCGGCCGGGTTTTCTGGGTTCGACCACTCAACCCTCCTAAAATTGTGTGGGAATGACTTTTGAGTGGTGGGCGTCGCAAATTCGGTGGGGGTTGTGCACCAACCACTGGTGGCTCTGACTCTTACAATTCATGGCAAGAGTTCCCCAGTCTCCGGTGGATCCCCAGTAAAGGGCTCAATCAAGCTAGGGGTCCCCTTTCAAAGTGCTCCATGTGATTCATGGGCGGAAACAAATCCCAACCTTGGCGCGCAAAAAACCCAGCCGCTCCTCCACAAATGCGACCAAGCACCTTGGACAATGAAATCGCTGTGCAAGGCAAACGGTGTAGTGATCCGACAAATGTGTGCGTGTGTGTATATTTGTGTCTGTGTGTCGGGGTCTGTGCGCATGTGTATGTGCACGTGTTCGTCTGTGTGTGTGTGTGTGTCCGTCTGTCTGTGTGTGTGTGTGTGTCCGTCTGTCTGTGTTTGTGTGCGTCTCCGTGTGTGTGTGTGTGTGTGTGTGTCTGTGTCTGTGTCTGTGTCTGTGTCTGTGTCTGTGTCTGTGTCTGTGTCTGTGTCTGTGTCTGTTTCTGTGTCTGTGTCTGTGTCTGTGTCTGTGTCTGTGTCTGTGTCTGTGTCTGTGTCTGTGTCTGTGTCTGTGTCTGTGTCTGTGTATGTGTCTGTCCATCTGTCTGTCTGTCTGTCTGTCTGTCTGTATGTCTGTCTGTCTGCGTGTGTGTGTGTGTGTCTCTGGGTGTGTGTGTGCGCGTCTCTGTGTGTGTGTGTCTCTGTCTCTGTGTGTCTCTGTGTGTCTCTGTGTGTCTCTGTGTGTCTCTGTGTGTCTCTGTGTGTCTCTGTGTGTCTCTGTGTGTCTCTGTGTGTCTCTGTGTGTGTGTGTGTGTCGCGCGCGCGTGCGTGCGTGCGTGCGTGCGTGCGTGCGTGCGTGCGTGCGCGTGCGTGCGTGCGTGCGAGCGTGCGTGCGTGCGTGCGTGCGTGCGTGCGTGCGTGCGTGCGTGCGTGCGTGCGTGCGTGCGTGCGTGCGTGCGTGCGTGCGTGCGTGCGTGCGTGCGTGCGTGCGTGCGTGCGTGCGTGCGTGCGTGCGTGCGTGCGTGTGCGTGCGTGCGTGCGTGCGTGCGTGCTGCGTGCGTGCGTGCGTGGGTGGGTGGGTGGGTGGGTGGGTGGGTGGGTGTGTGTGTGTGTGTGTGGTTGTGTGTGGTCGTGTGTGGTTGTGTGTGGTCGTGTGTGGTCGTGTGTGGTTGTGTGTGGTTGTGTGTGGTTGTGTGTGGTTGTGTGTGGTTGTGCGGTTGTGTGCTGTTGTGTGCGGTTGTGTGCGGTTGTGTGCAGTTGTGTGCGGTTGTGTGCTGTTGTGTGCGGTTGTGTGCGGTTGTGTGCAGTTGTGTGCGGTTGTGTGCGGTTGTGTGTGGTTGTGTGTGGTTGTGTGTGGTTGTGTGTGGTTGTGTGTGGTTGTGTGTGGTTGTGTGTGTGTGGTTGTGTGTGTGGTTGTGTGTTGTTGTGTGTGGTTGTGTGTGTGTGGTTGTGTGTAGTTGTGTGTGGTTGTGTGTGTGTTGTGCGCGTGTCTGTGTCTGTGTGTCCGTGTGTGTGTGTATGTGGTTGTCTGCGTTTCTGCGCGTGCGTGTGTTTGTGTTTCTGTGTGTGTGTGGGTGTCTGCGTGACTTCGTGTTCTGTGTGTGTGGTATGTGTGTGTGTGTTGTTGAGTTTGGGTTTTGGGGCTGGTACGGGGTCCCATTTTCACGATGAGCCGCATCCTATAGATTTGGACGAGCCTCAAAAAAGTGGTGATTTGTATTCGCCTTAAATTTGCGTTGACGTATCAAACCCTTCCGCGAAGCTTCCGCGGTGTGAAAGGTTCTTTCCGCGAGCATGTTTCTATACAAGTTTAGATAAGTGCTTCCGCGGGCCTTCCGCAGGCAAGTTGCTCAGGAAACTGAAGAAGGTAGCTTCCGCGAGGGAATTCGTGCACACGGTTTGCTAGAAAACGTGCTTGGCAACAACCACCTAAACAAAATCAAACTACTATGTGCAAATCAACCACGTCCCTTCCGCGAGCTTCCGCAGGAGAAAAACCTTCCGCAAACCTTCCGCGGCTGCAGTGCAGCGCTACCTTTTTTGGTTGATATGTCAACATCTATACATGGTTCTTGAGCGGAAAAACAAAACGCCACTCAAATGGGTATGTATTTGTTGACTTGGTCCCTGCCGGGTGTGAACCAAAGAACCAAAGGAAATCGCGAAAGAAAACCTAAACGGGCATGGCTCGTCCAAATAGGGATTCGGACCCCCATTTTGGTTTTTTCCCTTTGGTGTGCGGCAGACAAACGATTCTAAAAAAGCTACCTGCAACTTGCCGACCCTCGCGTGGAGAAAACAAACCGTGCAACCAAACCGTTGAGGGGGGAATGTACCCTACCTGCAGGTCCTAATTCCATGTAGGCACTTTTGGCCCCCAACACTTTTGGTTGTTAAAGGGAAACTGACACAAATATTCTATATACTCTTAGGGTTGCAGAAAGGCGACAGCAATTCCTAGGGTTCTCTAAATTTGGGCTCCCGATTCCATTTCGTCGTACACGTGCCCATGCAAAGACTACTCCGAGAAAGTTCACCTATCCCATTTCACCCATCTTTCAGAGGGTAAAGCAGCGTCTTTCGCACTAAGAACCTTTGTTGGGTATACCGAAGAACCTGTTTTTGGGCTCGTGGAACGGCTTTCAGTCTTTTTGGGAGCAAACCGATGCCCGCTGAGACCCTGGCGCATCCTGTAGACTCTGGACAGACATCTGGGCAGGCCTACGTTCGCACCATGGACAAAAAACAGCCGCAATTGCCCCAAGCGTCAAACACCTTCCAACGGAGGAATGGAGGGTCCCTAATCTGATGCCTATGGGAAAGAAGCAACTCGGCACAGCCTTTGTATGGTACCCTCCCATATGGAAGCTGATTTGGCTCGGAATCTGGACAATGTCCACCAATTAATGCAGAAGCCGGCAGCTTGTAGCGCAACTAATGCAACAAATATGCTTGATGATGAGTGCGTGGCGAGCAACAAAGCAATACAGCACGCTTCGGTGAAGAAGCAACACAAGTTCGATATTGTGAACACGAGCAACCGAAGCCAATTTGAAATGGCTACGGAGGGGACATAATTCTTAAAGGGAATCCTGGAGTTCCATCGAAACGTGGACGGGAGGGTGGTTGATGTTCAAGGGAAACCCCAAAGGTGGTTTAAACCCCAAACCATGGGCATGCAAAAACAGGGCACCGTTTAAGCATGGGGTCATTACCCAAATTTAAGGGGTCGTGATCCAATTTTCTATGGGTCAGAAGGATTTTCCATATAGGGAGTGTTGACACATTAAAAGAAGAAAGGCGTTGCGCTAATCTGTGTGAGGTCACACAGGCCTCCGCAGAGTGGCTGTGGAAGTGGCTGCTGGCTGCTTGCCACAAAGCCTTATGCGCGGACGCAATTTCAGCAACCAGCTGTCAAAATACATTCCGAAAATAGTCCATTGCGAGGTGGCACGGTCGCGTGATTCGTGATATTGGCGCGGCGCGCATTGAAAGCTCAAAGTCAGCCTTACAGGTGGCCCCCCTTATCCTACCCGTACCCCACCCTCATCCAGAGCAACATGAGCCAATAGCGCCCCCTTTATATAGACCCCCAGCGGTCAAAAACCCAGACCAACCGCCCGCACCCCGAGCACCACCTGCTGCATCACCAGGGTCCCAGAACCCAGAAGCTTGGCATTTGCCCATTCAGAGGTCCGTATTAGTTGCAATGAGCTTCCTGTTGGCTGGGTGATGCCCAAACAGTCCACAACAGGGTTGTGGTGGACGGGAAACGCATATATATATATATATAATATTTAAATTGCGGAAACCACATTGACACTAAGTCTTGTTCATGTGTTCACAAACAAGTTGTTCATTGGGAATTGATTTGTGATAGATGATGTGCGCATTTTGGACCCTGTCCAATTTGTTGGTGTTTGACGGAAGCGGGGAGCGATCAAAAGTGGGGTCAAAAGAACGGAGAACCCCTGCTTCCCCCCTCCCCCCACCGCGGGCCACAACCCCCCTCCCAACCCGAAAATACACACACACACACACAAAAACACACACGCATACAACCAACCTCCCCACCCCGCCTCTTGTTCAGCAGCTTGTTCACTGGCTGGTAGGCCAGTCTCGCCTGCCGGTGCGCTGCCAGGTCCAACCTCAGGAACGAGCAAGGTGATTCGACCCGGAGAGTCGGATTTGCAGACGTGCCCATTTGCCAATGAGGATAGACACGGAAAATCACCTGCGCGCTGTGCCAGGCGTCCGCTCCTATACTTTATCATGACGATCTCTTTTGTGATGTACCCACTTGTTTTGGAGCGAAATGAACCATTTTCAGGCTAAAGGGGAAAGCAAAGGGAAACCCAACATTTCTGAGACTGCCCTTTCAGGTTGGTTTGAAGGGAAACGAAAACCACAATCAAAGTTGGGATTTGGGCCCACAAAACAACAGGCTGCCCTTTGGCTTCCCTTTCGATTCGGGTTTTACAGGAGCCTACTCAATTAGAATAGGGTCTGAGAATTTTGACCAAACTTAGTCATGATCATAGGGGCAAGCAATTCAGTTATGTCTTCCGTTAGTTTCCCTGTTTGCTAGCCATGTCAACTGTCTAGCTTCTTGTGTCTTTGTGCAGTTTGATTGAGGGCTTTTTGCGCGGCTTGTTTTGTTTGCTTGCCTGCCTGACCGCCTTGCTCGGCTTCAATTTGGAAACCAATTCAAGGGTCTCCTGAGTCAGAAGCAGAACCTGGTATTAAAATGTTCCACCCAAAACCATGTCAAGAAAAAACGGGGAGGTCTAGCGTTTATTTCTAGCTGGGACTGCCTATTACCAACCTTTGTCCACATTTATGGCTGATTGGGACTATCCTTGTTCAGAAATGACCGGTCATAAGTCCACACACCAAAACACAACGGCGAGCAAAATTTGGTATCCCCAAAGCCCGGCAATCTCGCGCGTCTTGGCTTTCGGCATATAGACGTCAAAGTGGCCCGTCTCCTGGCGTTCCAGAAACCCTCGTTGCTACAAGTGCCCCTGAAAACAAAATACACATATATGTATATATATATATATGTATACATATTATAATGCATATGTATATATATATAACACATAAAAACACATGTAATATTTGTGTTTATTCGCAGGTTCTTCAGCCATTTCCCCTTCACACATCTCCCTAAAGTATACTGTAATAAACACTCCATCTATGCTCTCTATAAGTATGTATTCTTTTGAGTTTGTTTTAAGGGTTGTTCAAACTGAACATCAAAGGCATACCAAAGGAACACCAACCATGCTAACCAAGCATCCAGCGAGTCCTGCTAAAGATGAGAAAAGCCCATAACAATCAGGACCATTTCGCTCTACGAACTTTAACTGGTAACATGTTCAATGTTCACCCTTACTTCCATTTGCTTAAGTCCCGCAACAAAAAAGGAACATATTCCCAGTAGTAATCGATTCCAATAAGAACCAACAGGCGAAACTCACTTCCTGAGTGGATTGGCCAAAACAAGCGCCAACTGTCTGCCACCAGAATGATCTTCCCAAAACAACATAAAGTCCATGAACTCAGGGAGTGAGAAATTCACACATATTCTCAGCTTGGCAGCTGGAAACCTGGGACAGCGCAGCCGAGCTTGGGCGAAGAAACGTCGACCCCGCAACTCCCCTCGGGGCCTTTACCAAGAGTGACCAAGGGGAAACCGAAAGCTCGAAAGATCGAAAGCAAGGGGCCTTTGGCCGAAAGTTGGCCTTGAGGCTGTGGGGAAATCCACCGTCCAACAAAAACGCACAAAGAATGGTTCAAATCCTTCGGAAAAAAATCGCCATGAGGTTCAGCAGTGTGATTGAAACCAAGCGAACAGTTTTTCAGAGACCTCACCAACGGCATGGGGTCTGTTTCAAAATGTTGACACTGCCCTGCCCAATAACAAGTACAGGCGCTTTCGCCTAAAGAACCCTCGCCAAAACAAAGACCCCTGACCCCGAATTCCTAAAGATCCTGGCAGCTTTATACTAATTTGGTGCAATGTGTATCTCAAACAGGGGCAGCCTCCCCCTCGGTGCTTGTCCGGCTCGTCTTGGGATGCCCTCACTCACACATCGGCCAAAAAATAAACACGGAATCCCCGAAAAAGGGGCTCTCCAATCAATCAACGAGAAGCCCACGCTCATGTGCAATACATACTTTTGTTTGAGCAATTCATGTCTTGTTTGAGCGCGAATTAAGGTAAGTAGTTGAGTGCGGGTACCCTTTTTGGGCTTGGTTTAAAGGGAACCAAAAGGAAAGCCACCTTTCTTTCTTCGTGGGGGATTCTAACAGAAGACACACATGTTGCCCCACCCTGTCAAAACGCCCGCAACGTCTCGCGCGGAGGCCCTTGGGGCCTTGTTGGCTAAGGCCACCCAGGACCCATCGTCCGAGGAGGCCAAGACCCCGGCGCAACTCGCGAGCTTCACCTCGCGCAGCGAAGAAGCCGACGTCACGTTTGCGAAGAAAGGGGCGAAGAAGACGACTCCAGGTGGGTTTTTGCCCCGAAACACCGAAACATAGGGGGATGACTCTTGAGAATTCATGGTTCTCAGTAGGGAGTTTCAACCTCGTTTAATCTGATCTATGGACAATTTGGAGGTCGTGGCAGGGACAAGCCACCAAGTCACCAAAACCTAGGGGACGAAGCCTCCGTGGCAACCAAAAGACGATTCTAAAAACACAAAGGCAGATATGGGGAGCCCTGGGACATGCCCTGGGACATGGGCGTCCATGTTTTCTTTTTGAGGATACCCTTGGTGTGGTGTTGGTGGGAATACCAGGAATTACTTCCCGAAACCCGCCTACAATTGCCCACAAGTCAGTACCTCGCAAGGAAAGTGAGTCCATCAAGGTGGCATCCTCAATGTTACCCTGCAAATCGTAGTCTGAGAAGCCTTCCAAACGCAACCATTGCAACCAGTTCCAGTTGGGCCCAGAAGAATGGCCGGTGAACCAGTAGCATTCCCATGGTACCATTGCGGAAGGTGGCGCAGCAAGTAGAAGTAATTGGACAGGTCATCTCCGGAGGCTCGCAAGGATTGGCGCTCGTTCAAAAGAAGCTGGCACAGGCTTGGGCCGGCGGGTAAGTGCGCCTACCCGAGACGTTGCTTCCTGCGATTCTGCGGACGCCGGTCGCAGATCAAGCGGTCAGAGGTGCTTTTGTGAGGCACCGTGAACAATGCCACCACAGGCAGTATCCAGCTGGTTCTCCATTCTCTTCACCCCTTCAATGCACCCAAGGCCCTAAGGCCTTCAATGGGCAAGGTACAGCTGGACAATTTAAGCATCCTCCGAATTTCAGAGAACCAGGGCTGGTTGAAGAAACATGGGCACACACCGTCATTCTAAAGGTTGATTGGCATCGCTTGTTGCCCAGAGTTTCTTTTGAGCAAACAGCACAATCAGGGTCCACCTGCTTGACAAGGATCCGGATCCTCTAAATCAGCTGACAAACGGATATTTTCTATCTGGACGGAACTTGGGTGCGTCTCGAAACAGGGAACCCCAAACTGGGTGGTTTCCCTCTTGGATTTCCAAGGTACTCTTCACAGGGACACACCCACGTATCTATCGAGGGACCTGAGGATTCCCCGATGTGTCGTCGGAATTGTCTACATGGCTTGCTCCAACGACCATCGATCGGAAGGGTAGACACTTAATCCAAATGGGAAACCAAAGATAATCTTCTACCCCCAAACGCTCCCGATTTTGTTGGGCCCCTCACACAGCCAGGTGTCAGGTGTCGAGACTCCCAAACCCTCCACGGTCTTCCTGGAGTTTTTGGAGGCTCGGAGCTGCCTTACACCCCTTCCAGCTGGCAAACAGGAGGCACCCTTCTTCTACGGTTTGGTCCTTAGGTTCGGAACGCAACAAAACGAAGCCTTCCTTGGATGTTCAACCCTCTTAGGCAGCAGGTTACAACCATGGTTATATCTTGGGCAACTGGGGTTAGCCTCCTTAAAGCCATGGTTCTCACCTACGTACTTACTAAGTGGGTTGAACATCCAAGCAAGTGCGGCGGGCGAGCTCTCCCCGTCGACCCAATCTCTTGGTCTCAGCCTTAGGAGGAAACCAGGGGTTTCCAGGGCGGGGGGGTTGGAGGGGTGTGTGTGTGTTCTTGCTTCTCAGGGAATGAACCGGGTTTGGAGACCCCCTAAATTGACCCCCGACTCATCCGTAGGACCGTACTCAGAGGATCTACTTTCGAAAGAACTTCACCCGTCAAGGCCTCGCTGACCAGCTGGCTCCGTGCGGAGTTCAGCTGCCAGCAATACACCTGAGCCAGCGATCCCAAGGAAATGGGAACTCCGGATGTCTTGCAACAAAATGGTTGATTCATCAGGGGTTTATAGACCCCTGCTTCATTGTGTAGTGGGCATTTCTCACAGGGAGGGGAACACCTCCCCCAAACAAATTAGGCAGGCGTAATGGTCCCGGTCAACGTTATAAGGATCCTGTGGGAAGGGCGGGGGTTTAGGGTATGTCTGCAAAAAAAGTGGGAACGGCGGTGTCTCATCCGTGGCCCTTTGAACAGTCCCTGCGTTTAAATTCTCAAAGAAACTACATATACATATATGTTGAGACAACGAGGGGATAGAGAAGTGTGGCAGATCAGGAAAGGGATTCGATCTTCTGAAACTATCGACAACTCTGAGGGTGGTGCTCTTTTACAAGCTATCGACATGCTCTTGCCACATAAAGTGATCTGTGGCAAAACCGCTAAACTCATCTTCCCATTTAGTGTGCGGGTGCGCAAAGGGTCTGTTTGTTCGAGGTCCCCCGAATTGGAAAAGCACGAATTATTCCGATGATCAATAAAAGTAGATCAACAGCAAGCTGGCTGGCACGTGGCCTTTTGTTTGCTCGTGTTGCAGTAAAATAGACAGTCCCAGATCCGTCCCCAAAACAAGCCAGTTCTGAGCAGATAAATCAATTTATAAGCTATAGCCCAAAGGGGGAAATGTGGCTTGTTTGATAGCCATGAATGGTGCTTGGAAACCTCCCTTTCATCCTTCCACACATACACAGGACGATACAAATAGGGTAAGGCAGAAGAGTCATCAAAGGGCTGGCTGAGGAGCCAACCCAAACATTGAGTGAGAGTTAAATTATTCTACATGGCATCATCCAATGACCACAAGAAACAACGAACAACCATGATGCAGGCCGGGAAGTAGATGTGGATCTGCCCTACAAAACGTTCACCAAGAAACCGGCCCAGCTGATCCGAGAGGATGCCAGAGGACAACAATACCCCTTACTCAAGGAGATGGGCGGCAACAGCGGTGTTCTTCGTACATAGCCCAAGCTGCTGGAAGCCAATCAAAATCTTTCGGAACCCGAACAATTGCTTTGCCCGGGAACAAACAAGGCGCTCGAGCAGGTACAACCTGATGCAACCCGCAGCTGCACACACCAGGAAGCAGAGACCCCAAAGGGCGAATAAGAAGTCATGGCCTCATTTTGGAAGGGTGAAGACTTGATCAAAGGAATCCGCTTAGCGATGCAAAGCCTTCGACGCTTCGGGCCGGCCTGTCCATCAGCCAGGCGCCCGATGACGATAGAGGTGCCAAGGGTGCGGGACATGGTGACCTCAGCGCCCCGGAAAGTCATAAAACAGCCCCTACCCAGTCCGCAGTGGATTTTTGTGGAGAAAACGGGGCGCTCTTGTACTTGGTAGATGATCTCAAAGGGAAATACCTGGCACTTGATTTGAAAGGGTAACAGGCTGCAAAGAAAGCAACCAAAGAAGAAAGGGCGCGTCTGAACCTCCCACCGGGATTTATGAAGGATCCAGGAAATTCTCGTTCGTCTCATGGTCCGGGGGTTGGTGGGGAGGGTGGTCGTTTGATGGGTACCTGGAGGGCATGCGAGACTGTAGGGTTTCCCGACCCCGAGTGGCCATGCCAAAAAAATGCACTCTGCTTGTTGTGGTTGATGTTAAAACAAACCCCTCGGAAAAAAGACAAGGGCCCCACAGGCCATGCGTGTTCTCCCTTTCCTCTTCTCGCAACATTGCAAGCATGCTCGCAACATGTATGGGTTCATCCCTCTTTCAATGACTCTTTCCTTTGGTTCATCCATGCTTTTTGCTTAACCCTTTGCCACCACGGTTTCATCCGCTGCGTTCGCCGCTGGGGTCACATCTGGTTGCGGCCGTAGCTCTTGCGCAGCTCTTGCCGGTGTGGGCTGCGGCCGCCGGTCCAAATGCATGCTCAAAAGTGAAATATTCCGTCCACCATCGCCTGCCTGGCGTTGACTTCGGCCATCTAAGCAGCGCCCAAATTCCATGGACCTTGGGTTCTACATGGTTATGAAGGGTTCATATGGGATGCACTATAGCCCGAATCAAAGCTGGTCGCAGCCAAACCACCTGCTCAGATTGCCCTTTCGGAATCCTTTTTGTTGAGCTGCTCATCGGAAACTGGGAAGGACACTTGGAAAGTAACCCGGGGTTTGAAAGGAGGTGAAACCAAGTATTTGGGTGGGTGTAAAAATAGGGGACCCCGAAAGATCCCTTGGATTTCCTTGGAAACCAACCCCAAAACACACAGGAATCGGCAGCCATAACTTGTCCGTCCAAGGGAACGTCGTTTGCGGCAGGTGTCCATCTTTCAGGGGTGCTCCATACCCACTCGGGACGAAGATCTGATTTAGCCCAGGTGAAGCAACTGTTAGGGCCCGATGCCCGAAGCGACCCAAGTCTTGATGGTGGGAATGAAGTGTTGGGAAGTGACAGCAGTGCCCGTTGCAAAGGGGTTCCTGCAAGTATCGTGGATTGCAAAAGGTCACACGCTTGTTTATACTTGGATGTTCAACTCAGCTGGTTAGTGACGACAACTAGACCATGTGGCATGCGGCAAACCTCGAGTCGCCGTACCAAATGTAATTTGCTTTCCCCAAACCGGAGGACACCTATGCGCCGCAGCCTGCCTTCCCTTGGGAAATGTTGCATGCCGAAACTTCCTATGACCAAGCGCCCCCAAAGCGGAACTGGAGCCCCGATAAACGGCACCCAAAGGAACCTAGCCCTGCTGGGCTCATTTGTCGCTAAAATCGCCTCTGTCGGGATCCTCGCAAGTATGGGAAAACTGCATGACAGCTGACTACCCTGTTGGCCCGGGCAGCGATAGTCAGACTATGTCAATGTGGATGTGATACCATGCTGAAAATGTATGCATAACCATGTCGATGCATTCATATGTACAGTATGCATACTTATTATATATATATATATATACACGTGTATGTGTATCTCATACTTGTAATATATACACGTGTATGTGTATCTCATACTTGTAACTATGTATGTCGCATGCATATGCATGTGGATATGTGGTATGTGTATGATATATGCGCCTGAATGTGTGTGTGTGTGTGACTATACATGAATATGCTATCACGCGAAACATAAACAGGTACATATGTGTATGAGTGTGCATTGATCTATGCATATGGAGGTTTCGTTTTTATTTGTTCGGAGGTTAAAATTAAAGGAACATCAAAGTCCCCTAGAATGTGTGGTTTTCTTTGGGTTCCCCACAAAAACAAAGCAGAAGCGGGTCCACCATTTTGAGAAACTCCATGCGAAGATGTGCGCATACCATCCGGGTGCCCGCGCCATCGGCGGCAGTAAGTCTCGGTCCACGACTGAAAGGCGCGTTTCTTCGCGGCCCCGACGGTCGCAAAGGCTGGCCTGGAGTCTCCTTCTGACCTTTCAAAAGCACCCTGCCAATCCCTTTTGTTTTGGGATGCCCCTATTTGTTAAGCAGTACCTTTCCTTAATGTGTTGCCAATCCTTTTTTGGGCACCCTTATTGTTATACGGTCAGAAGGAGACTCCAGGCATACCAAAAATACGATTTTCAGATTCTGTTCCATGTTGCAATATTTACTCAACCCCCAAATCAACATACATGTCTGGTTTTAAGGGTGCGTAATGCGCGACGGCACGAATCTTGTTACGTAGGTATCTAAGTAGCGGGGGTCCTTTTTACGTAGGTCTTTAGCGGAAAACAGCGCTTGACACTTCCGCAACTCCAGCTCGACAGTTGCAACTCTTCCCAACGCGAGTGCTCGGAGCGCAATACAACGCAGTTCCAGCTCGACGCTGTGCAACTGCAGTACGCAAAGCGCATCTGCACAGCTCCAGCTCAAAACAAGCCGGGTAACGGCAAAAAAGGTCGGTCTATGTAACGAGGTATGTAACAAGGTTAGCACAGAAAGAGGATTCTTCCGGCCCCTCCTACCTGTTCCAACTCTGAAGGGCAGGCTCTGTGCAACTTGACTCTGCACAGATGTGTCCAGCAAAAGCATCTGCAGCTCTGCAGGCGCCCTGTGACAATCACTCGCAGTCGAGGCGTATGTAACGAGCCAGCAGGTCTTGTGTAACAGAGACCCCTCGAAAAGAATATGCCATATGGGTGGGTTGGTTTTAAAATAGGGGAACCGCCCAAAATGGCTGGTCTGCTCTTGATTTCCCTTTCAACCAAGACCCATGTGTCCTGAGAAGAACTCACATGCATGCGACTTAAACCCTTCAATGATCCTTTGGAGAAAACCCGCCACTTCGGACATGGGAATGGACACAGCAAATTGCGGAATACGCACTTGGATTCGCGCACCAAGAAAGATGTGAAGAAAGGTTATAAGCTGTGTTCAGTGAGATCTCTTCCGGTGATTCCCGCCCCGATGGTACAAGCCAAGACAACCCAAAGGGAAACTACTACGAGGGTCCCCTATTGAACTCACCAACCCCTCCGAATGCTCCATCCAAACCAACGAAACTCATGTTGTAAGTTTGTTCTTGTGCTTGACGAATAAGCGATCTTTTGTTTGCGGGATGGGACACCACTATTTTCGGGGGGTCCCCATTTTAAGACTCGCCCAGCCCAACCTGCTTTTTGTAAACCCCGAAAAAAAAGGAGGAAACAAAAAAACTTTTATTTTGCTTGGTACCTAATCACCATTGGCCGCAGAATTGTGAAGGTTTTAGGACCTTGGCAGGTTATGAACCTCAACAAGGAATCGCGGTTTTGAGAGCCGAAAATGCTTAGGGCTTTTGATTACCCAGGCGCTCCTGGGGCTTTCAATGGAAGACCCAGACCCTCCATTGGACACTTCGCGGGTGTTTGGGTGTTCACGGACGCCGACTTGCTCGCCTGCCGTAGGGGGTAGCCGCAGCTTCAGGGGCTCTTCGTGCTGCAGCTGGCCGTTGGGCCTCGTTTTGCATTCCTTCATATTCCTTCATTCTTTTTCGGAGGACCCATTTCCTATGGGAGTAACATCCACTGGGGATAACTCTCTTTGAAACTTGTTAAGGGACCCCACTGACTCCACCCCCCCAAACAACCCTGCCTTGGGGCCCTAAATTCCAAACAAAACGGTTTTTCTGGGATGTCTGGGTATGTCAGAATAAGGGCACCTCCATGGGCTTTGTTTGGCTGTCCAATCCCCGTGACCACTTTGTCTTTGGAAAGGGGATTCCCTTGGCCCGTGCAAATTGGAATGTGAAATCCTCAAGAGGGATTGGCAAAAGAAAGGTTGACTCAATGAATATCATTGAAAATCCTTAGGTAAACAATGGCAGTTAGTGCGTGTGTGTGTGTGTGAAAAAAATGCTTGGGCCCTTTGGTGCGCATCCTGATGGGTGGGCTGCACAAACATGTTTCACTGGGTTCCCTATTAAAAGTCACATGGAGGGCTTCACTCGGTGATTCGTGCTTTTAGCGCAGCCCTTCTGGAGTTGTTCCAAGGGGGAAGGCCGAAGCCATTGCGGGGGCCCGCGTCTTGACACATAGTGAATGATTGCAGTTGGGGGTATCAACAAAACCGGTGCGTTCGAAACCTGAACCCATTTGGGTCCCCAATTTGTACATCCTTAAATCAACGTTGGAAACAACAATGGCTGGTCAAAAGGTCCTTTCCAGGGAATGACCATTTGGGGAATCCGTCAAACATAAACAGCTATATAAATCCGTCCCACTAAATAAGAAAAGCTGACTGTGGTCACTGCGATCATTCAGGGCCTGGAATATTGATCACCCATCACATGGTGAGTTGAGAGGAATACACAGGGCGCGGAATTTCTGGGGAACCACCTCCCAAAGTGGTTGGTGGACATAAATCCCCAGAGCAAGTCCCTCTCCTCGTGGTACCTGGAGTCTCCTGAGGGAACGGTGTTTTTGTTATTATGGCTAGTGTTTTTTCCTAGGGCTGGTTTTCCGCAGTCTTGCGACTTGGCCCTGTTGCCTATTGGCTGGTTTAAGTTAGGGGGGTTTTGGCTCACTTGGATCTTCATGAGGGTGGGTCTTGTGGTGGTTTGGGGTGATTTAGGCGAAGCGGCCTGGATGTCAGCCCTTCGCTTCGCCTAAATCAAACCCCAACCACCCCAAGACCCACCCTCACGAAGAGCCAAGCCAGCCAAAACCCCCCTAACTTAAACCAGCCCCCAGCAACTCCCAACTGCCACCCAATCAGAGCCAATAGGCAACCCCAGGGCCAAGTGAGGCTGGTGATGCCGGGATGCGGACAGCCAACCAACCAACCAACCAACCAACCAACTAACCAACCAACCAAACCAAGGGACCAGCCCATTTTTATTTTTAAAGAAGAAACAGCCCTAGGAAAACCGGATCCCTCCTTCTGACCCGAATCAAAAATGGGGTCATTGCCCAAAAGAAAGGGGATGCCCACCCTTACATACTATATGAGCTATAAATTAATAGATGCAACCGGGTTCCATTTGTGGATTTCTGAATCGGCGCCGTAGGAAGGCTCCGACGTAATCCGGATCTCTAAATACGGCTACGACTTCGAATCGGGAATCTCAATTGGAACCCAGACAAATCCGATGCTTTTTGCCGGTGCCATGGTTTCACTCTCGCGAATCGGGGCAGGACGGAACCTGAGCGCCAGGCCAAATCACCATGACGATGGTGCTTTGCGTGGCCTCTCGCGGTGATAGGCGTGCAACAAACACGCTCGGCGGAGATGTTTCTCGTAGGGGAACTCCTCTTTTGGATTGAAAGGGAAGGTTGCTCACCAAAACTCGGGCTCCGTATGTTTCACATTTAAGCATCAGCCCACCAAGAGCAAACTTACTTGAAATTGTCCCAAACATCAATCAAAACAGGCGTGCAAAGGCTGAAGGCGCGAAGTAACAGTGTGAAAGGATCTCGCCCATCGGGCCCAAAGTTTGCAAGCCCGAACTAAAAGGAAGGGTTGAGCACCGTGTCGAAGCATCATTGGACCCATTGAAGATGTTAGGACCTCCATTGGTTGTGGACATCAAGAACGAGTCTTTTTGACGGTCCAGGATGCTTAGGGGTGCAGGTTTCTGTGGCCATGAGGCATTGTATCCACGTTGCAAAACAGATCATTCAAACAGGGCCAGAAGTTGTCCCCGTTCTCCCTCTCCACCCCGCCCCGTTTGCTTTCGACCCCTGAAGTTCTTCCACTCTTTAAAGTCGAATTGGCAAATCTATCCTGCATCCTGAGGTTGTTTGTAGCAGGGTAGAAGGCATTCAATGGCCATTTCAGGGATCATCTTGCAAAACCACCCGGATGATTCAGCAAAACTGAACCCCCCTGTCTTGGTAGTTAACACGAAACAATAAATTGAGAATGTTTGTGAAGGTCACGGATCGGTGAGCAGCTCATTTGTTTGCCCTTCCACGCCAACCGCGGTCACGGGTGGACCAACATGGTTGAACAACTCTTGTTCAAACAAACTCCTTTCTGTTGCCTTTTAAAGGGGCAGTAGTAGTTCGACTGAAACAACAGTTATTCCCCTATTCAAAGTTGAACGATTATCTGGTTCTTTTCTAGGGAACCCACCATGCGGCTTCTTCAAAATGGTGCGGTCAAGGGGTTACCAAAAGAAAACCCTTGCCATAGGAACTGGACCGATTCGTTTGAGAAACCCAACATGGCCCTGGCGTGAGATAGCAGTTTTGTTCTATATTTTAGTCTGCCCTGAAGTACTGCGCATGGACAAATCCCTACACTTGCTAGGTGGTTTGTCCAAATATGTGGCTTCATCCGTCTTAGGCGCAGGATGTTGCCCATCCATAGCGTATGATTGAACAACCAAATCTTTGGGAGACCCCGGTGATGTTGGAACCCGACCCAACTCCAACTGCGAATCCTGTCGGATCGACTTCATGGCCTCTGGGGTGTCCTGCTGGAAACGCAGGCAGGCCTCAGGCTCTGAGCGACCATATCATTGGGCCAACCTATGGAGTGATTGAAGGCCATGGGGATAGAGGGGTATATCGAGGGTAGAGGGGTACAAAGAGGTGTACAAAAGGGCACATGCTGGATAATACTACCCCAGTGGCATGTATTTGTTGAAGGGGCTACAGAGTTTGTGGGTGCAGGGAAACCAAGCGGACCCCTGTCCCCAGATTTTGGGGGTTGCACCATTTCGGTCAACACTTGAGGTTTTAGATGTGAATAACTGGGTAAATGACAACCACTCACACACCCAACAGCCAAGCATTGAGGCTAAACCTCAACCCATCCCAAACCTGCTTGAGGTAAGTTCTCAACTCTGGGCAACAAAAAGCGATGCAGCTTGTGAGCGATTACTGTGATGGATCATGCTGGAAAAGCTGCGATGCACCCGTCTCAGCCAACCAACCAGTCAAACAGACAGTAGCAAGAAACAAACAGACAGCAAAGCTAATCTAGGGTAGCAGCTCCAAGAGAAAGACATCCCATGCAAGTTAACATGCTCTACAAATGAATGGGTTTTCTTGGGCTGCCCGTTGTTCAGGAGCGTAGCTTTCTGTCCTTTCAACGCCCCAAGGTACCAACTCCGCAAAAACGCACCCAAAAAATCCAGGGTGCTGGTACATGATTGGAACCAACCTGGAGCTAGCGATTTCTTTCTCGATGTTCAACCAAAGTGGCCCAAACAAGAACCACTAGGCTCCATGTTCAATAAACAATGGACGTTTACTTGATGAAGTTAAATCTCAGACTGTCACCAGTAGTTTAGTTTCTTTTTAAGGGTATCCTTTCACCCTTGAAACCAAAGGATAACCACCAAATAATGGGGACCCCTATTTTGAGACAATCCTACTGATTAACTTATTGGAAAAGCCCCAGGAGTCTTTCGGGTCCCGGCGAACAAAGAACCCCGTGCTCCAGGTCCTCTTGGGCTCCGCGCAGCAACGGTGCCCGCCTCAGGATTCACTGCCACGTTGTACACGCTGCCCTCATTCCTGGCGGTGACTAACTGTTGACGCCGATGCACCCGGGTCCCAACCACTACTTTTTTGACTCGGGATTTTGGACATGGGAAAGAGCAGCTGTTGGGGGGGTGCTGCATGGTTTTGTCTGACGTTCCGACAAAATCATGTCCGGGTGTTTACGAACTGTGGATGATTAGCAAAATCCACGCCAGGCACCAGTTAATTACTCAGTTGGTGGTTTGGGGCGGGGCTCGGTCTCAGGCGCTTGGAAAACCAGTCATCATTTGATAAAAACAAAGTCTTCCAGACCCTAGCCCCATCTTTTGTGCTAACATGAAGGGCAGTAACATTTCATCACCCAGGCTGAATCAAAGCTGCTGGCATATTGGGGGGCAGTATGGTGTTTCTCCAAGTGATGCGGTCGGCATTGGGTTGACAAGCCCCAGATCGCGGCGTCTCTTCTTTGCACAAACCTAGGAAACCAATGAATCAACCCTGAGTTGAGAGTAATAAGCAAGGTGTCCCATTTGTAGAGGGGAGCTTTGGGAAAAAACACACACACCGAGTTCAAAGTCCGAACGGCACAAACGCAACCTTGTTGTGGTTGCCTGCCGTTGGCTCACTTGCAAGTAGGCTTGGGTGTCGCTTGACTTGGTGTTGGGTTGCATAGATTTGACTTAGACACATCGGAGTGGGCGAATGAAACAAACGTTGGCCAAACTGTTGCTGAACTAAACCATCTATCTCCTTCCAACATATATGTGGTTGGTCTTGACCAACTAAACCAACACTTTTCAGAACGAACCAAAAATATAGAAAATGCATATGTATAGACAACGACTCATATATATATATATATATACGACTCATAATTTGACATGTGACATCCAGGATTCTGTTCCACAAAGAGCCCTTCCAGGAACCCCGATTTTTGCCGCGCCGATGAATCCATAAGGGCTGGCTGACAGGTACATCGAGCGCAAGCGGACCCGTGCTGTTATCTGGCCTTTTCTGGCCTGAATTCGCCTGCCTGAATTCGCCTGAAAAGGACAAAAATGCAGCAACGTCACAAAGGTGATGCGCAAGACTGGTAAACTGTCTAAAGAAACGTTGTCTGTGCGAGTAGGACAGAAACGCGTCCTCTCATATTGCAAAGCATGCAATATCCGGACACAGCATCTAAATAGTCATGTCATGGTCATGCTTACTCTAGCGATATGTGCAGCACGTGTACTGCTGTCGGCCCCATTTGGGGAACCAGTGCAAGACCCCCGATTGCGTGTGTGTGTGTGTGTCCAAAAATGGTCAAGGGAGACTCCTTTATCAAATGGGATCGCCTTGTGACCCCCGAAGAAACCCTGTCTAAGCCAAATTCTAGACCTCTAGGAGGGTTCCTTTGTTTGCCGTGAAGTAACCTGGTCACCCAATACAAAGGAAAATCGCGAGCATCTAACGCACACTCAAAAACAAGGGGGAATACCCCTCAAAAGAAAGAACCACATGGGGTTTCACCTGTGCATTTCAGCTGGGTGTGTCTTAAAATGGGGGACCCTCTAATTGATTGGCTTCGTTTTGGTTTCCCTTTAGACCAACCCTCAAAGGGGCACCCTCAAGAGACAGACCCGTCTGGGGCTGGCTGTGTCCAGGCCAATTCTGCGCCAAGACAGGTCGGCGGAGCTTCTGCTTCAAGTTCCTCGGAATTTCTGACGCGTGCCGTGGGCACCCAGTTTTTCTTCAGGTCGTTGAAAGGGAACCCCCCTCCCCAAAAAAGGAAAAAGGAAGCAAGCCGCAGGAGGTCTGGGCAAGAGGGCAAAACACCGGCCAACCCTGCCCGCCCAGGCAAGGTTCGGAAAGCAGCTTGTTGGAAGGGCCGACAAAAGGTTAGCATCAAACCTGGGGGGGGGTGCCAGCCCGCGTCTCCTGATTGAGGAAACCCATAAATGTCAAAACTGCTCGGGCCAACCGCACTAAAAAGCTGAAAATAAAAGCACGGCCAGGCACAAAAACACGCTCAACGTGGCACAGTACTCGAACAAATAAAAGGCCTGTTTGAACTTGCAGTGGAGTAAGTGTCTGCTAGCGAATGTCGCTTGTTTGTGTGTGTGGGTGGGTGTCCCTACTGCAAAGCTTCAACGGCTTCCTGAATTCATCTGGCCAAGGGGGCGCTTTTCCTGGGGTCCAGTACCACCTATCAAGGAATGAGGTCTTTAGGGTGTAGGATTGCCACAAGTAGCGTAAATCATGCTGAAACAGGTTAGGGGTAGCACTCCCCAAGACCTCTCAGAATGACTTCACGCAAACATGGCTCGAATTGCAAATGCAGCCCGCCGGGGCGAAAAAGAATACTAGCGTCACCACCTCCACAAAAAGAAGAACAGGAAGAAGCAGAGCAGCAAGAGCAACGAGAGCAACAAACTCATCCACAGCAATCTTGATCCAATTCCCAAGCAATGGCAGAATGTGCAGCCTCTGGTGTCACCTTACTCCGCAGCTGGGACTCCTCACCCGATTTTCATTTAAAAGGTTGCAATTGACCGGTGGGTGCTGATAACATGGTGCAAACAGGCGAAAACAAGCGGCCCCTCCCCAAGCAAAAGAAAGAAAATAAACAAATAACTTAACGCATGCTGTCAACCCTCCAGATGGGTATGTATCAAAATAGGGTGGCGTTCCTTTTGGCTTGCCGTAAAACAACACAAAAATGGGCTCCAAATTGCTTGCTTCATATTGTTTTCCTGTTTGGCTTGTCTGCGGGGTACCCAAAAAATGGTCGGTCTCCCTTTGCCTTGCCGTTAGAGGTTAATCAAAAGTGGGCTCGCTAAACAAGGACAGGCGGCCCTGCAATCACACTCTGTGGGTTCGCTAAACAAGGACAGGCGGCCCTGCAATCACACTCTAGCACTGCCGCCGGGCAGCTTGAAGAATAAGGTGCGCTGCGCCTTGATGCTGTACCTGAGCCGAGCTCTGGAGACAATCCGGCCACGTACTCTGATGAACATGGAAGCCACGCAAGCATCATCTTAGGAGTCTCCTTTCGAACCCCCCCTTTGGGGTTTCCCGATGTCATGTCAATGTGCAGGGGTGGACACTTTTTGGCGCTTGACTACGATGAAATAAATCTTCCATTTGCTGGAAGAAACAAACATATTTCCAGTAGTCACACTTTCTCTTTGAAAAAACCTATTCTGTGTCACCCACCCCCGCCATCACGGCTTTGATTGGGACCATTCCGACAATAAACCTTGGGGTTTCAATAGAATGGCTCTTCTAACATAGTTATGCGGGCCACGACAATGTCAAGCTCAGTGGCAAAATCTGTGAAACATGGCAGCCCAGCTCTGAAATCGTGAGAGCAATGTAATGAAGGTTTATGTACGCCTTCCTACAATCCTTTTGAAATAGGTAGGAACATGTAGGAACCCAGCCATAAAACGGCCGGGCGCTGCTATGAAGCAAAGGCAAAAATCCCATCTTGGGGTTGCTCTATCCTTGTTTGGGGGAGCCCCCAAATCCACTTATGTAGTCTTCCCCATAAAAGGGACAATGGAACCATAAATGGAATTCCAGTGATCTAGACGGGGTGGGGATGTAGCAAGGCAACCCAACTTCGTGGCCTCAACTGTCCTTGGTGAAGCACGAACGCTCTGGGGTCCCACAGATTCTCAAGGAGGTAAAAGGCAAACCCTGACTGGCATTTGAGCTGAAAGTGACGGTTGCTTCACCCGTCAACTAGTTCATACCAGTCAATGGACTCTCAGAATACGGCTCCTGGTCCACTTTTTGCATGGCCGATGGAAGATTCAGCCTCTGCTTTCGGAGCGCCTCCACCTCTCAGCCGGGGGCCCCGACAACCCAACGCCAGACTTTGTGTCGTAGACCAACTTGTCACCCTCAGTGTCCTGCGCGCTTTCGAGAGGAAAAAGGCGAGAACTTGTCTATTGGGGTGGCTCGCCTTTTTTGCGGCTCGGTACCCCTTTTTGGTTGGTTTTAAGGGGAAGCCAAAAGGATAAAACTCACCCCCGAAAAGGGAACCCTAGTTTACCATGCTACAGCTGCTACCACTTGGGCCGGGGCGTCTCCATACACTGTTCCAAGGTAGTCCTTAAAACGCCCAGATTCTTAGGCTGTATCCTTCAGATCCATCCAGCTTCAGGGTGTTAAGATCATGGTGTTGCCATTCTATGTCAAGATGTTGCCATGTTGTTGCAGATGGTACCATCTTATCTGACAGCTATGCAATTCGACGATCGAGATTTACCTGTTGGTTTCACATGTTTCGTGTGCCAAGCTGTTTGCGTGGTTTACCACTTGTTTCCTTGCACTCCTAGGATTCAGCAAGCAGTCTAACAGCAGGGACAGCAGGCGTTTTTTTTGGGATTAGAGTAAGATGATCCAAAAAGGCCTCCTTTCCCTTTAGAAGCAAACTTTTAGCAGATTGCTACTCTATGAGCTAAAGCCGAAAGGAACCGTATGCCTGGACATCGCCACTGTAGGCAACCCCCAGTTCACCCCAGCTCACCACCCTGTAAATCCTTCTTAGTAGATGTTCTAGCCATTTCCCCAGGAACAAGCAACTCATTGCTCACTTGGGATTGGCCAAAACAACTCCGAGCTTTGCATTTGCCACTATGGTCTTCCTACGTGACCCGAGTCCAGGAGCTCAGGGAGTGAGATGAGCCAACGGCCCCAGGGCGGCCCGGCGCGATCCGGCGTCCGGGCTGCCCGACTGCGAAGTGCACCCCCTGCACCTCCTCGAAATCGGATAGAGATCCGCGCTTTGTGTTGCACATTCACTTGCGCAGGTTTACCCCTGGTTGATATAGAACTATGATGGTGAAGGAATTTCCTCATACTTGGGTGCTCAACTTGCGCAGGTGGCGCTTGGTTGCCACAGAGCTATGGCCTAGTGAGGTGCGACTCAAGCGCACACCCATAGGGCCGCATTAGACATCCCTCCGCCTCTTCAAAAAAACAGCCCCTAGCAAAAGCTAGGAAAGGCTGGAAAAGGCAGACAAACAAAAGATAACAGAAACAAAGAACATATATCCAGTAGTAGCCTACTCAGTGCAAATAGTTCCATCTGTGACCCTCTGTATGAGGACAAGCTCTTGAGACTCTTGAGGCATGCTGCAACGCAAACCTGCTGCAAACCTGGTCTTGGGTGTCATAGGTCTTTGGGGGTCAAAAGCCCGACATGTTTAGCGTGGGTCTTCAGCACCCTATTCTGACTGAGACCCTTGTGGAGTTCCCTTGCCCCATCCGAAAAAAGGAACAATATGGGTATGTCGTCTTTTTGTTGAGGTGGTCTTGAAGGGAAACCAACAGAAAAAATGCGGGGGTCCAAACTCTATAAAAGAACCACACCCATACTTTTGTTGGGAGGCCGAACGCGGGACCGACCAAACAACAGTGGGTGTGTCTCTTTTCGAGGGTGCCTCTGTTTGAAAGAGATCCCGAAAGGGAACCAACGTTCTTGGGGGTCCCTTCATTTTGAGACACACCACTGGACCAACTGGAAATACCGCGTGCCCTTCGCGCCTGACTCTCCAAGTTGAAGGCCACCATCCGTTGGTCCATGACCAAGGACAGCAGTTGCCGGGCCTACCAAAACCACTCGCTGAAGCAACAAATCCATGGCCCTGCCAAACTTGCCGGGCAAAACTTGCCTCACAAACCACCTCATTTTAGTTTGAGTTTGCTTGTTGCTTGTTCCTTGAGAGTTCCTGTTCCTTGAGACTTGTTGTTCCTTGTGGCGTGTTCCTTTACGTTTCTTGTTCCTTAAGTTTCTTGGAAATTGTGGCTTGGTTTCTGGAGTTCGCAGGTTAGAGAAGGTTTTTGTGGCGCAAGGTGGGCGCCTTTCTGTTGCTGCAGGAACTCTTTGGTTTTGGTTGTTGGTTAGTCAGGGAAGGTAACAACATCACTGGTTCATGTTCCTTGACCCAGAAAAAGACTCACCCACCCCAACACCCCAAACCCCCCAACCCCCCCAATCCTCCTCCAAACCATCCCCCAAGCCAACTGGGCTTTCTTTCTTGGAATGCGGTTGGAATCGTCCCTGCCTTGCCGCTGTCAGCCACAGAAAGGAGCGGCTGGTTGTCCGGGCCGCGGGCAGAGAGCCTGGGAGAGCCCTTTTGCGCTGTGCCCCTTTGAAAGGTTCCAAGGGCTTTATCCATAGCTGACAAAAGAGATGGCAATGGCAAATGCAGTCAGAATTGCTTATCTCCCTGCAAGGGCATGGGACAATTTGTAAGTCCCCTGTTTTGGTTGGAAACTTTGTAAATTTCACCATGCCCCTCCCAAAATGACAAGTCATCTTGACCGCACAGTTCAGGGTCCTGGGCGGCATTGGACCCTCAGGGATTAGCACCTCCATTGGAAGGTCTTGGGCCCCAAAAAGGGCATTTTTGAGAACTCAGGATGCTTAGGCAAAAAGGATCATTCATTTGACACACGGGGTGTGCTTTTTTGGGGAGCCTCCTTCTGGATTCAATCGGACTCCAAAAGAACACCCATCTTTTTTTGGGGATCCCATTTATGCAAGAATATCAGGACCTTTGGGGCCCCTTTTTGAGGTGGGTGTGAGTGTCTTCTTTTTTGAGGGTACCCTTTTCTGCGTTGGTAAGGAAAATCAAAGGGATACCACGAAACTTGTTTGAGGTTCCCCTTTGAGACAGCCCCAGGTGCAAGATCTTCTTGTGAGACCCGATGCATCCGAGCGCGGGACTGGGCGAAGACCTGTTTCACCAGGTCCATGGGTGTACGCCCACTGGCAAGAGGAGCTGGGAGTCGGACCTCCTTAAGTTGCTATTTAAGGAACGTAGAAAAAGGGGGAACGACAAACTCAATTCTTACGGTAAGCACCTCTGTAAGGTGGTTGGTGGACATAAATCTTGGAAATGTGAAAATTCAGACCCATATCATGGACATAGTGTGTAATACACATGGGGGCGTCTCAGGGGATCCCCTAAATTGGATGATTTCCCCATGCTGTCCCTTGAAACCCACCCAAAACGGGCCTCGCCTAACAAAAGGCATGCTTGCCCTGCCCAACATCCCATCGGGCTTAATGATCATCCTTATGCCAGGGTTAATCCGAGACAGGGGTCTCTACATTCCCCTTGACCCCACTGAATCTCATAGGACATGCCGTTGTTCTTTTATGCGTTGCTCAGGATAGTGAACCCCTTTTGGTTGGTGTTTAAAGGAATCCAACAAATCACCAACCTTTTTCGGGCAGCGATCCCTCTTGTTGAGAACCGCCCATTTACCTGCTTTAGGGAGGGTCTTCATGGCCTTTGTTTTGGATGCAAAGCAGCCAGAGTGAGCTGTCTCCAAAGGAGGATCCCCCATGCAATAGTTTCCTCTTGTTTTCAAAGAGAAAACTGCCAAGAGGAACCTCCCTCCAAACGAAACGAGCCCCCCATATCCGTGTTACTCTGTTCTTCCCCCCTTGAATGAAACCATCGGAATGTTATTCGTGCTGTCCCGGCCTCCGATTTGCCAAGTGGAAAGGGCTCCTCGTGCCCCCCTTATCATGATGAAATAAGAAGGTCTTACAAGACATAAGCTGCGGTTCCTTCAAAACCCAAACGGAATGGTCGCAACGACCGAGAGAGAAGGCCTTTGCCATTTCGAAATCTGTGTTTTGTTTATCTTCCCTGGCCTGGTTTTGACTGGATGCCAACTGCCTGGTACCTAACAGTTTACCAAAAGGGGTTCTTGTTGTGCTTTAGAAAACCTGCATTTCCCCAATCAGGTCGCAATTGCTAGGCACGGCCGCAATTCTCAAAGGCACGGTCGCAATTTTCAAGGGAGTGATGCTTACTTTGCGGCGAATGTTTAAATTCTAGAAGCCACGTCGTCACACAAGCCGATGCCGGGGGATAAAAGCCCAAGGCCTCTCTGAGGGCTGACATGCAAACAACAAAACAAAGTACGGATTGATTGGCATTTTGGAGGGAGCGGCGGGTGTCGTCGAGCGAACGGCCGTAATTGAGGGAATGGTCGAAATGGCCATAATCCTCCACGGGCGCCGTCAGTTGAAATCTGCTGCAAGGTTCCGCAATTTCCCGAAGCCTAGCATCATCTTCCGTAGGAGTTCGGCCCACACCCGGAAAAACAAAAAAAGAGTTGAACAGCCTTACCTGGAGTCTCGTCTCCGTGACCCTTAAAGAATGGGGTCATTACCCAAAAGGAAGGGGTCGACCGACCCCTTTTGTTAAGGATCAGAAGGAGACTCCAGGTGGAAAGCCCATTTTCGAAGGAAACTCGGACCTGTTACGAGGGTTCCTTTTGCTTCTTGACACGAAAAAGGAAAAGTGCACGAGGCTCCCACGCAGTGTCCCTGGTTGCTTACAAGTTTGATTGTGGCTAAGGTACGTTGAATAGGATTTCCGCGCCTGGAGTCCTTGGTGTCAGGCTTCGCCTTGCTGCATAACCTGAACGAATTCGGCCGGCAAGCCCGGTGGTTACTTTTGCGTGCTTCTTTTTGGACCGGAGGGTATCCCAAGGGATTCCATTTAACTCCAAATGTTCTCACCGAACCTCACGGGCGTCTCTTTGATTCGAGGTGTAGTTTGCTCTTGTGAATCACTTTTTGACAGGGCGGAGACCAATGCAAGTGAGCGCGGCGCGGGTTTCCCTCTGTTTGGTTGAGGGAAAACCAAGGGGAAACCGGACTCTCATTTTCTTTTTTTTTGGGGGGGAAGTCCATTTAGATTGTGGTGGAAGGACGACTGAAACAACTTATCCAACCCACATCCTATATGGGTGTGTGTTTTTTGAGGGCACCCTTTTTGGATGGTTTTAAAGGGAAACCAAAGGGACTGCCACCCATTCCGGTGCTCCCCCGTTCAAAGACGCAGCCCATATTAAGCCTCAAACCAACCTAAGTAAGCTCAAAGCCAGCCCGAAACCACTCTAAACCAGCCCAAAGGGACTCCCAATTGACCAAAGCAAAGCAATTGGGAAGCGACATGCGAACAAAGAGCTTACTCTGCCGGACAGCCAAACTGGCCAGGTCAAATGGTGCTGGGGAGTGCTGGCCTGCGCACACCCATGGCAACCAAACTAAAGCAAACAGAAGCGAACTGAACCGAAACAATCCAAATCCGGGGCCCCGGCAACATACCGATGGCCACTGTAGGGATCTTCCGGTACCTGGGCCGTCGGATGCGGTGACCAGCAACCGAAACCATCTTTGGACCCTCCACTGAAGGGGAAGGGACCTCCATTGAAAAGTGTTGGACCTCAACAAAGGCCCTTTTTGAGTTACCAAGATTCTAGGGAACTTCCAAAGGGTACCCCGTTTCCGTTTGGTGGTTTAGGGGTGGGATACCATACTTGCGCGCCGTGGGTTGTTGTTGTATGTTGCCTGGAGTCTCAGTCTGACCAATAGAAAATGGAGGCGGCATGACCACTTAATTTTAGGTGACCGTCAAGTGTACAGGGTCAGAAGGAGACTGCAGGCGCCCACCTTTTGCTTTTTGATTGGCAGTTCGGTATGCAAGTTTCCTGTTGCCAAAACCTGCCTGGGGGGGGGGGGGGGATGGGGGGGTTGTTGAAAGTTCAAACGGGCTCTGGTAAATGGATGTGTTGTTTCTGCGGGAAAATGTTCGGGGCGGTTGAGCCCTCCATCCCCATTCGTTGCGGCACGGGAGAAAACCTATCGAGGTCGGAAGGTAAACCATTCAGCAACCAGTCATTCAACTGATTACCTGAGCACACCCAGGAGTATTCTCCAAAGGCATGCTGTGCAGTGTGAAAAGCTATTTAGTACAACAGCATGTTTGCCTTAAGAGTTCTGGAGCTGTTTCTCGCTAGGCGTCGCAAGAAATGCGCACCTCCAAATTCTGCTCACGCGAAAACATGCCCGGCACCAGCAGAACACTCATCTCCAGGGGTGTGTTACTCCATGTTGCGTCCGAAAAACATATGAAAACATCTTCCCCTTTCACTCGGAAACCCACAAGAAGGAAATGGTGACCCCATGTAAAGGTCAGAACCCGACCAAAAAGGGCGGGGAACCGTTCGCCCCTTACATCTAAAGAAGATCAATTTCGGACCTGACACGCAAACGCGGTGTCATAGTGGGTGGTGGCCCGGTTTCTTTTGGGGGAACCCCCATGTTGTTTTTGTCGATTTAAACAATTGACAAAGGGACAACTGAAATACATGTTTGGGTCCAAATCCTAAAACCACGGACACCCACGGTTAAGATTTATCTCGGCCCTTTCTCAAAGCCGATGACACCAGGTAGAACCACCTAAAAAATGGCGGCACATCCCCCCCAACATCGGCCACCTTACCTTACCCTCAAGAGCCAGGTCAAATCCAAATCCAAAGAACCAATCCAAGCCAATTTAGGGTAACTTAGCTGCTAGGATGAAAATTGCAATGGACCCCCAACAGGTCGGACAAGATCTGGATCCGGCAGCCATGTTGCAAAGGTTCCAAAACCTGAAATAAGAAATGGATCTCCATGCAAAGGGCCTCCCTGTTGACCTTGTGAGGGGGTTGCTAGAGGATCAGCAGATGTGGTGGCTTTCGCAGAAAACCGAGTGCTTTTTCGAATCAGCTAGCACCCCAAAGTGGCTGCAACTGCGTAACACGACCAGGGACTCATCATGGGGGGTTTCGCTACCCCCAAATTGGTGAGCAGTTCCATCCAGTGTTCGCGTATTGCTTTCACAATTGCTGGGCCCCCGGCTGCTGCACGGCCACGTGCAAAGGTGTTTTGCCCTGCGCCATGACCGCATTCACGTTGGCCGCTGCCTGGCATGAAGATGCATCTCCCTCCAAACTAGATCATCCACAGCCTTGTTTCCCAGTCAGTAAATGCAAACACTGCGCCCACTCTAGGGCTAAGGGATTTTTTGTGGGGGCAACCACCACAAACAGCAGGAACTGGCTGGTGTTCTAGCAAGAACGGTCGAAAATGATGGACAAGGATTACCACCCCCTGGGACCTATGACGTCGGTTTCCCTTCAAAAGATGCACTCAAAAACATGTTGCCTGATGGAATCTCCTGCTTTCCCAGGGCTCCTGTTTGGTGCTCCCCTAGGGTAAGACCTATGAACCTGTTGGGCCACCTTACGGTAAATTGAGCCCACACGACTCCCGCCTGCAGGAGATGGCCAATCTCATCCACAGTACCACCATTCTCCACCTGTCCGCCAGCTAAGCAGCGACCCTGAATTTGACTTTTGGTCCTGATATGGTTATGAAACTTATAAACTTGGCCGACCAAAAATGGGCACACCCTTGGTGTTGAGAGGCCATCACGAGGAGCGCTGCTTTCAATTGAAAGGCACTACGTAGTGACAGGATTGGTTCCACGACAAAAGGCGCATGTTTTTGTTGTTTACTCATACGACAATAAATAACCCATTTGTTGTTGGGTTTTGAGGATTTTAACGTAACAAGCCAAACCAAATTCACACGCCATCGGGATAGGGCTATCATTCACGGGAGATGATGGAGCTGTATGGGCGGATTCCACCGCGCGCCCAAAACCGATTGTCCTACTACCCGGTTTAACAAGGATTGTGCTGGGGTCTCTTCCAAAATAATCTTATTGTTTAGGGTAGACTCAATGTGAAAAGTCGATATTTTCTCTATCTGGAATCACCAGCCGCTCAAATCCAAAATACATTCATGTAATTTCAATTGTGGCCTCAAGGAATTTGTTCTGGTAGCCTCAAGGGGAAATTATTGATGCGCTCTTTCCCGCAAGCGTGGAAGTGCAGGACAACCGATTCTTGAGGCGAGATATGGAAGCTCGCACACCAGAAATATCAGCTTGTCAGGCAATCAAACCGCCAGGGGGGGGGGGGGGGCATTCTGGCATGGTGTGGGACAGCAACGAAAATGAAAGGGTCCAATTTTGAGAAACACTCACAGAGCGTATATAACCTCCCCGGGCAAGAGATGCCCAGAAGACACGCTTTGGACACTTTTTAAGTCTGCCCCCTGCGGTGTGGGGCCATGTCCCCTCTAAGGCTTGGTATGCGAGACAGGTCTTTTGAGGCGTGAGAAAAGGATAGAAACCGGTTCCCGCATCGCTTTTGGGTCCCCGCTCGGTTGCGCAGCTTGGGTCAGGTTAGCTCCATCTTCGGTCGGTTTCTGGTGGTATTGTCGGATAGGTGACATATGTGTATTAATTGGCTCAAGGATAGATCTGATGGACCATGCAATGAAGCCTTCCCAGGGTTGAATGTACTCAATACGGGTCAACATATGCGATTACCTCATATGGGTTTGTCTTTGTAGGACTTGGCCCCCCAAAACGGCATTTGTTTGTTTTGGTTTCCTTAAACACGCACAAAAAGAGGTCTAACAAAGAAATGACGAGCCACCCATATGATTGTCACAAGCTTCCCCCGTCCCATCCGTCCGGGTCCCGGACTGCCAAGTGCAGGGGCGTGCGCAGGTAGGGCGTGCCCTCCTGGAAGTTCACCTGTCGCAAGCCGAATACCTCTAGGGGTACCTTCCCCATTCCTTCCAGGAATCCTTCTTTGCAGGAAACCATCAAACACCAAGGAAAAACGGCCGTTTCTTGAAAAGAACGATGGTTGAAAAGAATGGGGAATCAACCCCTAGAATACCTCACGATTGGCCCAATCAAGAGGTACGCGATGCTAAAAGTCGTGGAAACCCAAGCCCTCTCCCCCCAAGAAAGATGCCCAGATTTGACCCAAAGGATGGCCGCCGCCAAACACGAGGCGTCGGTTGGGACAACTCCAACCACAAACCATTGGGGGGGGGGTCTATGGTTTCCCTTTGCTCAGGAAACCCTGGTGGTTTGGATTGATGGCTTGGGGATTTGAACCCTGGTTCTTGCAGAGGGTAAATGGGAAACCACCCCTAGCCACCAACCACAGACATCTGTGTGTTTTGGTTTGGTATAGCTTGCTTTTGTCTCGAAGACACAAAAAACCAAACAAGCTCTACGAGGTGTTTCAAAAGAGGGCTTCTTTTTACAGCGCTTTCAGTGAATCTTGTTCGAAAAGTCACAAGGTGCTCAACCATAAAGAAACCAGTGGCGACCGTTTTCTTGCTGGCCACGGCACGTCTGCCCGCTGCTTGAGCAGCTCCTTAACCTTCGCAGACACGATCTCTCGCACGGTTCAACTGCACTCAGCGGTCACTTTACACATTTGGGTGACACGTTACATGCTTGGATGCTCAAACCGCTTTGTACGTGGGTTATACCGGTGCCTTTCAGACGCTACACAAACGATGGCCTTTGGTGCAAGCGATCCGTTTTGTCGGGTCCCTGACATCACTCTGCACTCAAAATTGCCTTTGGACATTCAACCCGCTTGAATTCAAACCACTGTGAGCCCCCGTCAAAACGTACTATTTGAGATGAGCCCCCTGTGTATCGTGGAAAGCTTAGTGAGTCCTCCGTGTGTCCCTTCCAAACTATGGATTCAGAAACGGCCAGTGTGGTGGGCATCGGAAGATCATCGGGATTTATGTCCACCAACCCCTGTTGCGGATGTTCCCCTTGAAGCTCATAGCTATATTTCCCACCGTAACAGCGCAGCATTGAAGGGGAAACCCTTTAAGTAGCATCATGAAACTGCAATGATGTATTCTGATGAAAGAAAGTTGGACAAACATGGGACTGCTGATATCCACTTCCTGGATATTTGGCTGTCAGAATGAGTAGGCTCTACAAAGATGCCTCAAAGACTGACCTTCGGTCAGCTTGGTCAGCTTGCGCAGGCTGCCGATTCCCCCTTCGCAGTTTCCTGAGCGATCGCTTGAAATTGAGGTGAGCTTCCCAGGTTCTCACCTGCCCAGTTAGAAGATTCACCTTTTGGGGCCTGCAAACAAACAGACAAAACCTTTTTAAGCTCAGATCCGGACGATTCGCTTGCAAGTGAGTTTCACCGATTCCCGTGGATTGCTTCCCCCGATCAAAACCAAAACGTCTATGCTCGTGGTGTCCTTTTTGCCTTTTGGTTGAGGTTCCTTTCAATCTCAAGCCAACCAAAGGAGTCAGTCAAACATAATCATTGGTTCCCATTCTGCCCAAACAACATGGAAGTGGGGCCTTGTCCAGAGGCTCCGATCGCCCCCCCATATATGCATATGAATGCTTCTTGAGGATGCCTTTTTCAATGGCAACCGCCCGTGAAAAAACGAGGTTTCACAGCCACGTGCAGCGCCTGGGCGGTTTCGTGCCGCTGGACGCACTCGAGGAGCTGGATGTCCATCGCGAACTGCCCGCGCCTCGTGTGGACTTCCAACCCAAGCTCCTCTAAGTCCTCCAGTAGAGAGGTTAGAATAAGGGTACCCGGGTACCAACTTTTTTCTGTAGTCTATTTTAGTACGGGAACCCTCCCCCAAAAAAGGGTTAAAAGGCACTACTGGGGGACCTAGTCTAAGCACCACTGCCGCGATTCACATGTACCACAAGAGAGCTTAAGTCAAATCGGCCGAAAAGCTGATGCTTGCACCACCAAAAAACAACGTATTGACCCCTGCTGCACTTAAACCACACTGGATAGAACTTTGAAGTGGCATTGGAAGATGTGTCCTCTATTCTCAAACCCTGGTGATGCGGGTGATGCTGGCGATGCTGAATCGGCATCACCTGCATCGCCCAATTCAATGAAACATCACCAGCATCCCGTGTCAGCTCCTGATGCAGTAGAGTTCATCCGGTGGTTTTGAGCCACGCTACTCCCTGGAGGCTCCTTCTGACCCATGTTTAGACCTGTCATGCCCTAAGCTTTTGAGGTCCAACACCTTCCAATCCCTTTCCCTCACTAGAGGGGCAATTCTGCTCTGGGTGGAGACTCCAGGTTTGTTCATCTGGCCTCTTCAAAATGGAGTGTTGGCCAATCCTCTTGGGAAGCCACTTCAAAGGGGTTGCCAGTCTGAGCGCCCGGGGCCCGGACGGCTCCGGCGGCCTCAATTTGCTCAGACGACCGGCTGGGAAAATGAGGGCTCTCAAAATGCAGAGAAAAAACAAGACAATCTCTATGTCATGTGTGTGTGCGGGTGTGCGGGTGTGTCATGCATCTGTGATGATCATTTTTGTTGCTTTATGATTGTTTTCTGAACCAGCCAAAAAAAAGGGTCTTGTGGAGAAACCCCCAAGGGCTCAAAGAAACAAACCCAGTCGAAATCCATAGGAACTAGGGGAGGCTTGCCCGATCTAGTTTGGCGAGCACCTATCGGTAGACATCTGCACTAATTTCAACTCAGCTGGAATGGGTTATGTCAACATAGGGGTTCGCAGCCCAAAAATATGTGGCTTGCTTGTCTTTTGGATTCCCTTTAAACTAACCTGAGAAGGGAACCCTCAAAAAAGCACGCACGCAATGCACTCCTCACAAGGAACAATGGGCAAGCTCATGAAAAAGTTTACGACTCTCGATTTTGCCCACCTCCAGCAAACCGGCCTTTGTTTTTGGCGGTCCGGTTGTTCAACGCACCGTTTTGTGGCGCCGAGAAACCACAAGGTGAAATGGAGGTCAATTTCCAGGCATAAAAAGTTGGACAAACACAAATTGGCCCCCCTCGCGCAGGAAAACGCGGCAGTCTGGGCAGTTCTTGGAGCCCTGGGAAAGTCGAGGCACTCCCCGATAAGTTCTGTGAGAACCTTCCTTGGATACCCCGGCGCTTCTGCAAAATATGTAAAATGTGTTCAATATGCGGGAAACAAATCAACTTGTTTCTACCGCGAGTGACCATGAGTGTATTGTAGAGGGGGCACAGTTTGCGAGGGTCTTTGGCGTTCTATTGAATCCCAAATAGTCACGCCCAGGTTCTGACTTAGGTTTGTCTTTGGTTATGTTGGGGCATTGCCCCAGAAGTTGAGAACTATTACAACGCACAAACCCGAAATAAGGACCCCCAAGTCAGGAGCCTTCAGAACTTCAGGTGAGCCCGATACAGCTTGCCCAGATGCATCCCATTGATCAGCCTCGGGATGCAGTTGGCCAAAATCCTGCACCAGTTTTTGGGCTATCCCCGCCTTTGTTGGGTTTCATCCATCCTGTGTGGAGAAGTGGTGTTCAGCATTATCAATCGACAGGGTTCCCACTCATCGAACATGGCCCATCCAACTTCCTCAGAGCTTCAGAACATCCGAGGCGTCCGCGTCAGCCCCTCCGGACCCTGCCAGCAAAAAGGCGTCCCAAACGGAGATCGTGCAGGGCCCATAAGAAACTCAACCACCGAACGGTGGTTACTCTCCTGCAAATCAGCATGGAACACAAAACATGGGTTGCCCCAAAGAGATTCCTCCACCAACAGGATTTGGGGGTTCATCTATTTAATCATGAAACGGACATTTCCGAACCCCCGAACAGTAGGAAAATGCAAACAACGTGCTTGCATTTCAGTGGTACTGGTTGAAGCGGATATACTTCAGGTTCTGAAATACATTCATGGGGATTTGTGACAGGGCCTTTTTGAGGGCCAAAATGCTTTGCGAGGTGTGGCAGCCAGGTTTGATTTAAAGGGAAACCAGAAAAAAACCCTCCCCCATGTTCTGGGTCCCCTATTTTGGAGGCAAACGGAAAACCAGCTGAAATTTTGTGATAATGTGGGTCACTCCCGTGACTACTCTATCACTTCAGAGGGGGGCCCTTGATCACGCAGCGAACATACTAACCTAAGACCAAGTTGTCCACATGCATATTGGGTCATTGTATTAGGCTCGGTCACTTTGGAGGTGCAAGGGAAATCCAAACAGGAGACCCCTGTGCGGCTCCCGCATGCAGAGATTTGAGGCTTCGTCCCCGTTGAATTTGATAAGTCCATGTCCTAAAACCCAAATGCACAAGAGACAACTTGGAGGCTCACCCTGCTTTAGTACGTATTTAATGCTTTTAGACCACTCACGTATGTGTTGTATCACGAGTCACAGCCATGTTATGTGCATTGCAAACAAAAACCACTTGCAAATGACACATGTCTTGTCTAGTGTTCCTATTGAAGGAGAAACACATATGTCTTGGACCAATCCCTCAAATGGGCAAAGCTCCGCCATGCTCAAACCACTGCGCTAATTCTGGATCATGTCCCGCCCCTTCGCGCCCTGAGTACTTCTCCTCTTTTCGTAAGCGAAGTGCGGAGGACCCGACCCAAGCTTCGGCCTTTGGAGGTTCACATTTGGGATATCCCCCTCCCGGAGCTTGGGTCAGGTTAGCTTCTCCGGAACAAACCTCAGCTATAAGAGTCAATGTGTTTTCCTTTTTACCTTCGGCCTTAGCCCGGAAAACGCAAGGGAGCCGCCCCATGCACTCGGATCATTGGTACGGGACTCAAATCTTTCCCCCCAACCCCACAAAACAAAATAAAGCAACAAATAGCATTGAATCATAAAGAGACCAAAAGGCAACCAACGCATCACGAACCCAAACACCAGGAAGATCCGACCGCAGGGCCCGTCCGCTGTTCGATGTGCGCGACTCGCGTGCCTGGCTCTTTGGGGCAATGGCCACGGAAGGCTTGAAGGGAGTGGCCTCGGCGCCAGCGTTTGCGCGCTTGTGGCGGAAAGACGGGGAGCTGGCACACGCAAAACAAGAGGATGCTTGAAAGGCAAGCCTAAAGGACTCTGGGGGGAGTTTGTGAAGGGTGTTTAAGATCTTTCTTGATTGTTTCCTGATTCAAAGGGGGTTGGCTCTAAGCCGGCCGTTGGCCACCTTGGTACAAAGGTCCAGCTGTACGTCCACCCAAACCGGTTTGCTTCATGCTGGTTCTCATATAAGGGAGCTAGGCCAAACTCAACCATCCCTTGTAGTTTCCCGGGGATCCCCTGCCGGTTCATTCCCAAATTGCTTGAAACCTTGCTAAGCACCGCATGTTTTGCCCAGCCCTTTCGACATGCCAAGTTCATTCAGACACTCTTGAATGTGTCATCTGGAACGCTTCTGGGGTCTTAAGCAAGAACCATGTGGGTGACTGTTGGAGTGTCCTTTTGTAGCGTGGTGATACCACCCCATCAAAATTCCCACCCTAAGCATCGCAGGCCCTCAAAAAGGCTTTTTGAAGTCCAAAACCTTCCAGTGGACGTCCTAACCCTTTCAATGGCGGGTCCGATGATCGTGCTCCTGGTTTTCCCTTGCAATCCGCAACCAAGGGGGCAACGCCCGGGTGCGAACTCCAATCCGAGTTTCCATCGTCCTTATCAATTCAAATCACAAAGAAAAATAACGCATGTCTGTGCATTCTTTGTTTCGTTGGCCGCAAGAAATGGGTGCGCAGAAAAATCATCTTGCATGTTCCATAGTGG